AGTCTGTGATGGTTTGTAGAGGCTTCATATATCATAATACAGGCTGTAATAGAGAAGCTCCACCGACCATCACTGGCAGTGATAGACAGATTCCAGAAAATCAGTTTGATCGTGTTTCACACTTTTAATCCCACAGGGATTGCGCTAAAACCTTTTTATTATTACAGACGTTAGCAACGAGTGCATGCTACCACTACAGAAGCTAGCAACTAGTTTATGCTACTATTGCACTCATTACTTCTGTCAGCTAAAATAAACAGATGAAAATTTTAATCTTTTTTTTAAGCAAATACCTTAATCTAGAGCTTGAATCCGCTTTAGTGTATTTACAATTCGCAACTTTTCCATTCACTGGGAAGCTTTTATGAAATTTTCGTTTATAAAAATGTATCAATTTCTCACCTAGTTATACGTAAAATATAAATTTCTCAATATTCTATATAACGTATTTGATCAACAATATCGATAGCTATATCCTGAATGCTGTTTAAACTATTATCATTCAGAATATTTCTCTATGAAACCACTAAACACTTCAGCATACCAAAATATTCTAAAAAAAACGTTTTTCTTATGTTCCCTCTAGTAATATTTCCTATTGATAGATCCAATAAACTTCAAATGTTAAAAAGGTTTTATTATCTTATTTTTGAACAAAATATGATCTCACTACACTGAAAAAATAAAACTTCTGTTTGATCAGAATCTAACTGACCAAAGTATGTGAGTTCCACATTTTAGCCCCAACGGGGCTGCGCTGAAAAGCTTTTTTTTTTAAGAAATTCAAGAAAATTCCCCCGATTCTTTTGAAATGAAATTCTCGGGGTGTGGGTGTGGGTGTGGGTGTGGGTGTGGGTGTGGGTGTGTGGGTGCGTGGGTGCGTATGGGTCAGCAGAACAAAACAGTCCAAACCCAGACGCCCACCCAAACCAATAGACACACCCTACCCTATGTTGCCTTTTCAAGAGTTCTCTCTAACGTCTATCAAGGTACAACTCATCAAAGAAGAAAATAGCAGTGAAAAATATGAAAATACATTGTTTGGATAGAATGGAGATAAAGATCTTAATTGTATTCTTGATAATCCCCTCATCCGCATGAAAAACTTGCTTCGATAATAAAAACTACGACCGTGCAGTATGTACGGGTTCTCGCTAGTTATAATCATAATTATTCACATAAAATTTATCATACATACTGTGCAGTGCTATACTAATTGCAGTAGAACCTCCCTATAGGGCACACTTTTGAAAAGTCCGAAAGGTGTCCACTATAGAGAGGTTCCACTTTACTAGCAATCGGAGTTAGCAAAGACGAGTGGGAAATGTCTAAAAAGAACTACTTTCGAATACTCCTAGCTAAACTGATGGGTAGTAAGAAGTTCTGTTAGTAACAAAAATCACCATCATAATTTCAGAAGACAGGCAACATTCTCCAGAAGATTCCGAAGAAAACTTAAAAGAAAATTAGTAAGTAAACTTTGAAGAAAGATCAATTTCTAGAGATGTAACATTATTATCCTTACGAAATTACAGTCCATTTCAACCGGTTCCAAGATTATAGAGACACATTGATATTTGTTGATACAGCTGTGTTATGAAGAAAGAAATTTACACATGCTCGTCTTGTACAAATATGACTGTCAATATACGTGTAGGTGGTGAGAGTGGAGCAAATTTCGTTTACCATCCCTTTCAAATAGCTTTTGTACACAAGCAGTGATCATTCGATGAGAAAATAATCTCAAATACGTAATTGTATTTCAAAGAGTAAACTAAAATAAATATCCTATTAATCATTGCAAGACAATAGAATAATTTGAAAAAATATTTTTCGCTTCTCTTTCAAACTTGATGTTCAGTTAGATTGTAGGTGCTTAGTGGCCAGATTCACTTTTTAAAGTCATTTTTTTCCAAAATCATTTGGCTAATGATATGGAAATTCAATAAATCAAATTGAACTTTCCCTCAAAAAGAAATGTTAATACAGTTTCGTTACAACGTCAGAATAACTATATACAAATTAAATAATAATCTAATTTTGATAAGGGAATAAGATTATCGTTCTATAAATGAATATCCTCAACGATTACAGTGTATCTGCGATATAATAATGCTTCTATTTCTACAAATGTTATCATTCTCATTTTTAAGACAATGAAATAAACGAGTTTCTTACTTTTATTTGTTGGAGTATTGATTTCGACATCAGGTATCTGCAAGTATGAGATGTTTTGTAAAAGTCCGTCTTCTTATATAATTATTCACTTACGTTTTTGGTTACTGAAGCAATTTTTGTGTTAGTTTTTGTACTAGTAGTTGTGCCCATCTATGAATAAAATGAAATAGTTGGGTGTGGGTTTTGTATGATGAAGAGATCATCCGACTCACACACCCCAGAATCAGCAGTCTAATAAGTGAATGTCTCAATTATTATAAATATGTTTACTGGCAGATATGCATCGAAACTTATTTTAACCAGATGACGTAATCGAACTAACTCAAGTAAGGTGTATATTAAGGTTTTTCTCAAGTCCTTTCTGTATATTTGAAATTTAACTTGTTTAATTTTGAAGCTCATATTGTATCTGACTTCACGCCTTTCCATTGTCAAGCACCGGAAAAAAACACATTATAAATACTGGAAGGATGAGCTCTCACGAGATATATTACAGTTAGATTTTTATACTTAATATATATGTCACAGTATCAACTAATATATATATATATAAAATCCTCCGACACATAATCTCCAATCAAATGGCAGATATTGAAAATGTTATTGTAATAAAAATGGATTGCTCAGAGAAATGTAGAGCGGTCTATAACCTTTTAGAACTACCCGTAGATGCACACTACAAGTTACTTCGTAGTCTATGTCGAAATGCCTATAAGGATAGCTTTTAACCATCGAACGGTCTTCAGACAATGGTATCCAAGACCTTGGCGAAGAAAAACATATATGATGGGCATTAGGGATGGTACGCTAACGTTAATTTTAAATTAACGTTAACTAAAACCGTTAACCGTTAATATTAACGGATTAACGCTTTGAGCAAAACCGTTAACCGTTGATACTAACGGTTAACGGTTTCAGTTAACGTTATTATTAATGTTAACGGTTTTGCTCAAATCGTTAATCCGTTAATATTAACGGTTAAAGCTTTTAGTTAATTAACGCCGTTTATTAACTCGAATTAAATTAAATGGTCCACCCCTAAATGGGCATAGGTCACTCATACCCTTCCTATCACATTTTCTAGTGACCAGAGCCATTTTTTCTGGAATCCATTGTCATCGATAAACGTTTTTACGACTTTAAAAATAGAATTCGTTAGAGGTTAACTTCAGATAGGTAGTCCCACTGAATTCCATATACATGTAATCTTCTTAATGAGTCAGGTATCAATTAGAAATAGAGGTGTGTTGTGTCTATGCAAATTGAAAATATTTTCAAGGTTCTTTGAATACATCTGCAAAAACTACACAGTAAAATACAAAATACCTATATGAATTCAGGAAGGAATTTCTATTGAACAGAAAATCGAACATTTTCTTAAAAAAAGGAGTTTATTTAAAATTGATGACATTTAGCATCATTTTAGTGATGTATGTGGATGCTACTTCACTGAAATAAAACTAAAGAATATTCCAAAAAAAGATATCTCGTCATAGTCATATGATGAATAAATCAATGGACAACCCATACGAATCAAGTAGTTAACAGAAACACAGTAGAATCGAAGAAAAGAAAAAGTATTCATCTCAACATGTGAATAAGAGACAAAGTCATATAAATAAACATTCACGAACTTGAAATATTTTTGAAATGACGATATGACAGTATAAAAATTATAATAAACCACGTTACTCAGAATATTGAATTATTTAAAATCGTTGACAATCGTGATATCTTAACTAACACTACCGCTTTATATTATACAATAACAATTCATAAAAAGTCGCTCTCTTTGTCAGTATCTTCATCATCATCTTTCTATTTGCATTCGCTTATCTGATAAGAGCATGTTGCTTTAAATGTGTTGTGTAACTATCTCATGATTCACAGCATAAAATATTCAAGTAATGGATGGCTACTGGGAAAGAAAAATAAGATGGTATACTCCCATGTTTAAAGCGAAACATTTTCAAGTACAGAGATTGAATAAAAGAAAGGTGAGTATTTTCGGAATCATTCTTGCTAGGAACTAGATAGAGACGTGCAATTTTCATCGTTTAACAGTGAAAAAACGAAACTGCATCGAAATGTCTATACCCAGGTCGAGCAATCCGACAGTAGGCACCTATCGGGACCCACCTGATCCGACTGGAATCCAATAGGATTTTATCGGATCCTATCAGATCTTACAGAATTATTGTTGGATTCCGGGTCGAGGAATCGATGTCGGATCCTCAGTGTCGGATTCCTATGAATTCCAACGAAAAACCGTTGAATGTCATCGGAAGTTCATAGGATTCCGACACTGAGGATCCGACATTGATTCCTCGACCCGGAATCCTATAGGGCTCTGTCGGATGGTAGGATACTATCAAGTTCCTATCAGATCCGGCGTGGGATTTCTCGACCTGGGTAGTAGATTTTTTCGAAAGTTTTCTCAGAGGCTTCCCACTAAGTTTCCAAATCAGAAAGTACGCCGTAATTTAAATGGCTTGAGAGTGTGTGGGTGTGGGTGTAGGTTTGAATATTTGCTCGATCTATGCCGACACCTCCCACACCCGCTAAATAAAATATCATTATTTCCTTACTTTTATTAGTTTAAAACTACGGTATATGTATAATATATAAGGAAATAAGATAAGTAGCATGCACAATGAAGGTTAACCTTCTGTTATATAGCAAGGTAAGAAATAAAATACACTAAAGGAGAAAAAATAATTTCATTGTTTTTTCTGTTCGGCTGGTATATATATTTATAATCCATCTTTTCATACAGCTATTGCTTGAGTAACTAATAACCGTAGACTAAGTCCACTCTTTGTACCTCGTTGAACAAAATTTTCACAAAATTCTTGTTCATCCTAATGTCTTAGAAGAAAATAAAAAACAATTTTCAAAAGACTAAAACAAGAAAGTAAAACTCACAGTATCGTCACTAGCACATTCCGGAATTGATGGTACAATTTCTTTTGTTTGATCATGTGTTGCAGCTGGACAGTCTCGTACTAACCAGCGACTAAGATTTGCATGTCCTTTACCACTACGATCACGTACATCGCCGAATGCTCCATCAACAAGCCCACCTAATTACATACAAAAAACAAACCTAAACTTGAAAATTTATTTTTTCAAACTAACAATAATACATCGTTACATTAAGAGTAGAATAGTATCCTCGATTACAAAGTTGAACACGACCAGTAGTTGAACATTCATTTTCTTTTATTCCAATTAGATTCAGTAATACTGAATAAACTTTACCATAGATAAAACGAAATGAAAATTGTAAACCGCTAAAGTCGTGTGTTAAGACATAATCGCTACGAAGATCGATAATATCTCCCGTATTTGCAATGACAGCATTGAATTCTGGTGTTAATGATGGATTACGTTTAAATAAACGTTTAGGAAATGTACGTACGGGTTTTGAGTAATGTTGAAATGTTTCACTACGCGTTTGAAAACGATCTTTTATGATACAATTCAATGTAAATAGTCCTCGTTCACGGTATTTAAGTAAGGTACCCATTAAAAGTATTAATTTATTTTTTTCACTATAGTTGCCTGGTCGACGACCGATGGGATATAAGATTTCAGAATTTGTATCATTCATAGATGCCTAAAAGATGAAGAATAATCAAAATAATTATTTTGATAGAATAATTAGTTAACCTTCGGTAAATGTCGAATAGCATTTTGAACACGTTCTCGAATAGATTCTCGTCGTTGATTAATACGTTGTGAAATTTGTTGCATATTACTGATCAATAATTTCGATGAATCACCTAATTTTTTAAATACTTTTGCCAGTTGAGCATCAGCTGCTGCAGCAACTGCATTTGAATCAATATCAGCAACTAATACTCGAAACCATTTATTATCATCACCTTTGCTTGCATCATCAATAGCTTTAAATATAGTTTTCCATTGCTCGGAATTTTGTTTCGCTACTTGTTCAAATGATGCCAATAGTTTTCGAACGAAGTTAACTATGCGTTCATCGATATTTTTTTGGTCAATTTTCGGTAAGAAACGATCAAGAACTTTTTCCGATGCACTTAATAAAGATTGTACTATTTCCATACGACGTGTTTGAAATCGTTGCGATAAATCTTTAAGACGATTATTATTAAGAATATCTTCTATACGACTACGCCAGAATTCTTCACGTTGAACATGACGTTCGCCAAGAATAGCAGAGACACGATCAGATGCTTCAGTATATGTCGGATATTTAGTAAAGAATTCAAATAAACCGAAACGAGTACTAAAAGAAGCATATTGTTGTACAGATTAGTTCACCTCACACGGGTAACTTACGTTAGTTTTCGCAAGAAGCTATTTTCTGGTTCTTTGCTCCATGCTGTAAATATTTATATAAGACATCTTTTTACACAATAGATAGTACACGTTTTCGTGAAAGTTGAATAAATTCAGCAAGATTTGTTCCCATGTCGCTCAAACCGCTCGAAAACCGGCGGTTGGTGAAAGAAAAATCGAATGATAAACTTACTCGAAGTTGTTTAACTGCTTGAACATTCCGATAGCCTAGACTGTGAAGAAAATAAATTGAACCAACTTGATATGCATAATTTCGATCTAATTCCAAATCAGTTATTTGTGTTTTACCACCATCGAATGAATGACTAATCGTCGATATTAATCGATTTTCATTCCATTTATTTGTTGCTAATTGTACACTATTTCCATTTGCATCATTCACAATTCGAATTGAATAACTTTCTGGTAATTGAATATTTTCAAGATGAGTTTTCCAATGTTGAACATTATAAATTGTTAATGGTGCATCACCAATTTGTAATTTATATGATTTCTTAACTGTTTCTAAACCGAATAGACCATTGTGTGAACCTATTTTACCAAGAGCTTGCGATACTGAAATTAAAATATAAGAATCCAATTGAATTCTAAATAGTGGTTCTTGCGATTTTGGTGATTCATCGTCGATATCGTAGGATGGTCGATTTACATTACGTAACGATGGTATATAGCGACGAATTCGTTCAACCTCAACGGTTATTTTGACATAATCTCGCTTTTGAGGATATATTTCACAAAGTGAAACAGTATTTGATTTATAATCCGCAGCAAGTCTAGAAATAATCAAAGGGTACTCATATTGATTTCGCTTTAAAATTTCAATAGGAAAATTACTTAAGTTCAATATTGGCAGGTAAAAATCGAATTTTATATCCCTGAAAATCAGCTCTTGAAGACGTAATACGTAGAACTTCTTGATCTTTTTGTTTAACAATAATTGTTGGTAATACTCCGACTTGATATTTCATATTCCATGAAGTTACAAGTGTATAATAAGTAGTTTCAATTTCTCCGGTTGTGAAGTTCATCGCCGTTTCATATCCAATACGTTCACCTGTAAATCGATTTAAATCCACTATAAATTTCTTTTTGTGAGCTATAGGATCAATATCAATTGTTAAGTTTGTTCGTTCGCCTTGACAATTCATTGAATAACTATCACCATACGATTGGTTAACATCACACTTATATGTTTTTTTAGCTGTACTATCATTTGCATTAAATGAATATTTTAAAACACCATTAAAACTTGTTTTCGAATGAATTGTTTCATCATATTTAATCGATATTGGATTTTGTTGTGGAATATTTACTTTTAAATTCAGACTCATCGGTTTTTCATCAATTCGTTTTTGATATGAAAGATCAATATCAATAGCCTCTTCTCTTAAACGATTTAAATCAAATTTAACTGTATGTGGACCTAATGTTGGATCATGTTTTAAATCTAAATTTAATGTACCATCATACGTTACTTGACCGAGTGGATTCGACAAACGTGGATCAGCGGCTAATTGAAGACGTTGTATCAACATATTATTTGCTTTGATATTAAATGTAGTTGTTTGACACACACCATAAATAACATATGATGGATTATTTGAACAACTAAAAGAATCACTTGACCAAACAATAACAGGCAGACCTTTACGTTCAACATTAACATTAAATTTACGTTGAAATTGCCCGGAACGTTTATCAGTTATTTTTTGATTGAAGCGAATATCTGTTGCGCCAGATTTTTGTCCTGTTTTCATATCGTTTAATGAAGTTTGAATTTGAACATCATTCCATTTGCCATCTTCTTTATCAACTGAGCTTGAAAAATTGAATGCACCGCGTTTGTTCGGTTTTAAGATTTTTCCTTCGATATTTGTTTTCGAACTAAAATCAGCATCACGTACACGACCAGTATGTGAATGATCAATTGAAAGTTCAACATGATTGGGAACTTTAATGTCTAATTTACCAGCGTCACGACCCCAGCTTACATCAAATGTGCCTTTACTCTCCGAACTACTAGTACCTGTTCGAACGGTAATATCACCTTTATAACAACGATAATATTTACCAGTTGCAGTACATTTTTTAGTATCAATATCTGACATAGTTGTTTCTAGTCCATCCGTCCGTTCCGTATGTCCTGTAAGTGAATCATTGTCTAAACCGATATCCATTTCGTATGTATAATCTTGATTATCGGTTGTATTTAAAAGACCCCGTACAATAACTTGATGTTGTTTAAATAGAGCATACAATGAATTTTGAAATTCTTTTCCGTAAAAATTTGTACTGATTGTAGCACTAACTTGACTGACTAATCGAGGATTGTATTGAGCAGTTAATGAACTATGCGTGGCAATATCATTACTAATACGTAAAGCTTCGACTAGATGAAGTGATGTATTTAGGGAACCTTTCGAATGGAGGTAGAAGCTAATTGGAGCTATATTCTATTAGAAAAAAGAACTGAATCGAACAAAAACAAAAAACAGATTTCATTTATCTTACTGTTGAAGCAATTTTAAATCCAGCGGATCCCTCAGCTGTTAAACTATGATTTTTATTGAATAGTGGTAAATTGTAGAAAATGCGAAATGCGGTTAAATTCGATAATGGAGTACCGAATTCAAAATGAATTCCAAATTCCTGTGGTAATTTCATTTTTCCAATATGATTTTCTCGATCCATGGTGAATTCTCCGATAATACTCAATGGATTTGACGATATTTGTGGGCTCACTAATGAAAATGCAATTTTTTTCGTTTTCGATGAAGAAATAAAACCAATTGAATGTTTATGTAATAAATCTGAATTGCGTTTTAATAAACCGAATGAATGTGATCCTGCATCTGATGACATATCTATTTTCGAAAGAGCGTGTAAACTATCTCCATTAGCACGTAAATATTCAATTTCATTATCTATACGGATGTGCCGTTTTTCGGAAAGAGATGCATCCAGTAGAGCATAGTGTGCAAAAACTGGTTTAGCAATTAATCTTGATTCAAGAAAAGTAAAAGCAAAAGAACTAAAAACACCGGTTTCTAATAATCTTACAGCTTTTAAATCGTGTGCTATATATGGCAGGTATTTAAATGGTAATGCAAATGAAATGTGTGTTTGTATTGTATTATCACCAGTGAGATTACGATAAATAAAAGCATTTAAATTAATTTCTTTTAATTTTTTATTTGTTCGAATAGCGATTGAATTCCATGTTTCGAATTTGCCTGATTGTTTTGTTAGATTACCATCAAGAACAATTAATTGAAATAATTTATGTTTAGGTGCTTTTAATTTAATATCGTAAAAAGTTATTAATGATTTTGGTGAATCTTTCTTAGGTTGTTTATCAAAGCGAAGATTCAAATCGAGTTCCATATCATTTTTATCTTCGACAAGATTCGTATCGAAATCCCAATGTGATTTAAACGTATACGATCGTAGACAAACATCGAAAGTACCCGCGTACCTGGAACTTGTATTTGTTTGTTGTCCAATTGTAATTCAGATTTACTTGTACCAGAAAATACATGACCATGAGTAATTTTTTCAACTTGTGCATGATATGCAAATAATCCGGAACGTTGGCGGCGAGGTAAATTGTATTGAAATTTATAATTGACTTCATTGAGTAATTGAAAATCAAGATCAGATAATACATCAAATGCAAATTGACGTGGTATGTCAGGAAATAATTTATCTGTATCGACAACAAAATGAATCTTATTGTTGATGTCAAGAGTTGGTGGCAGCATTGTAGGTCCTAGGCAAAAACAAAATGAGAGAGACGATGATATCTTTTAAAGTATTAGAAAAAGAAAACTATGAAATCAAACCTTTTTTCGATGATTCCGAACTCTTTCGGTGTCGATAATCAAGAAGAAAATTAAAAACATTTGATTTTGTTTTAACTTGAACTTTAAAATTAGCTTCCGGTGATGCTAGACGTTTTCCTTCATTAGTTGCTCGTACTGAGCGTCTTGTACAATCGATTTCGATTGTTTCTTGTGCCGGTTGATTACGTGTTATCAGTAAATAATCAAGTGAACTCTGTAGTGTTGCATTCGATAAATCAATGGCACGAGTGAAATCTGTTTTGAGATTGAACAGCTTCATGGATACATCACTAGCTGGTGTTCGTAATGAAACATGGGATGCAATATTACAATTATTTTGAGTTGCTTCTTTATTTGTTTTACGTTCATAAAAAAATTCGTATCCGACAGCTGATGACCCTTGACCTAATTTATATAAACGTTGTAATTCAATACGTTTATGATTGTCATCACGTTCGAACGATAATTTTCCATTGCATGATGCATCACCAAGATCAAAATCTCCATTGAAATGAAATTTTTTTGAATTCGGTTTGTATAAATCCCCACGAACTAATGAAACGATTACAAATTGAATATGGGATTTTCATGAAAAACAAAAGCTTACATTGAACTTTAAATAATTTAGCTTTATCGGGTGTTGTTAAACTAAAATTAGCTGTAAGACCTTGTCCACGATTTGGTAGAATATCAGTTGTTAATGTTACGACTTCTTTTTTGCTTGCAATATCAAAAAGTTTACTTTCGAATTTAAAACCATCGTTATTAATTGCCAATGTCCCAGATATTGTCATTAATTCGTTGTTGTCACTTGAATATACTGTACCACTGAATGTCTCACCTGTTTGTGTACCTATTATGTATAATAGAATAAGAAGAAATGTCCTGTTTTTTGTTTTGTTTTACCTTTCACATTGAACAATTTCATGCCAGTTAAAACTTTAATATCGAATTTATTGCCATCTTTTGTAGCAGACAAACCCAAACCTAAAAACAAAACGACGTCTAAACGTATGCACGAGTCTATTTCAATATACCTGGATAGGATTGATTTGTGCCGACTTTTTCAATGATGACTTCATATTGTGGTGCTTCTTGAGCATTAAAACGCCAACCAAGACGCCAGTTTTTGATTGATGGATCTCTGTTGACAGTTACCTAAAGGTGAAAGTTTGATTTCTGGATAAAGAATGTTCATTTTAATAGTTACACTTACAGTTAATGGATATGAATTTCGTTTGCCGAATTGAATTGAACGGAAAGGGTTAAGTTCTAAGCATACGCGTACGCCTAATGTACGCGTTGCATATTGGAAGCTAGGCAGAAATAGAATTCTTTACTCCGTTGCAAATAGGTTTGAATTCGGTTTAAGAAGGTTAAACTCACGTGTACGTCCTTGACTATTGGCTTCCATTTTATATTCAAATGGAACGTATAATAGAATACCGATTTCGATTGTTTCACCAACAGTGGTCAATGGTGATGATACTTCACGTTAAAGTTTCAATGAAAAACTTAATCTAAAAAAAAGAAACGTTTTTTTTTCGTGCTCATAAAAATTTCAAACTGACACTGATCGGCTTGTCATTGAATATACTCCTAGTCCAGCGTCATTTTGAGTACTTGTTAAATCAGCAAGTTTGGCAACTTGTGCTGATTTATATAATCCCAAACCATTAGCAACTCCTGATACAGCACCGCTTTATAAAGGTATACGAATGATAGGATCTTTGGCGCGCAGATCCGTACCAAATAATCTCAAATAGAGATGAACAGATGGATTAGTATCTTGTTCTTTTTTTTATCATAAGTCTATGAAAACAAACAAAAGTTTTTATTTGTTTTGAGATTCAAAATTTACTCACATCTTGATGTTGCTTTAAACTAGATGGTAAATTAGTCTTAAGTTGACTTTTTTCATCTTCATTAAGACTTTTATTCAATTCATCTAATCGTAAGAAATAGTCAGCAAAATTCCAATCAAGATTTTCACTGATTATCGCAACATCAACCCATGGTAAACGAAGTGGTTCATGGCGAAGACGAGGGCTTGATAATTTTTACGAAGTGGTATTTCAAGTCGAATTTGTCGCGAAGATAATGTGGTTTGTTCTAAAAATTGTTTTCTATTGTTATGATTTACACGAATTTGTGTAGCAAGTCCACGTAAAGGGCATAAAGAATTAAGTGATGAATATTTAAGAGAGGCTCCGCCAGACCATCGAGAATTCACATAACATGGTCAAATTTCAAATCCAACTCTAACTATGTTTATTCGATAGCCCATATTGAGAAACCTATACAGTAAAAATTTTAGACCGAAAAAATGTTTTTTCGCCGAAATATAAGATTTTCGAAAAAATGTTTTTTTTCAGTTTACTAAAAAACCAGTCAAGTGGTCTTTTTCTTTTTTCTCAGCCATTTCACTATCAATTGTTTTGAGCGACGTCTCATTAGAAGGAGAAAAGAAAACTCAACAAGATGAGCTGTTTTTTAGTCCGGTACGTGATATTTAGGATCCCTAAAAAATTTAAAAACCCTTTTAGGAAAAACTGAGTTTTGAGGTTTTTCATAAAAATTGTAATCGTAGAATTTTATCCCACAAATTTTATTAGTCTATCTTGTAGAGAATTGAATTCTCTACAAAATGAGCTATAGATTGTATTTATGAAAGGCGGGCGAGTTGCTAAAAAATGCTAATTACTATGAGAACCCTCTGAGGTCAAAAGTGGAAATTTCCAAAAATTAATAGTTTTCGCTCTTCAATAATTCATATTGATGAAAATACGATAAAGGATGCTTAGAACCATTTTCTAAAGGATTTTGAGTTGATGATGGCACTGCTTTTTGCTGCCTAACTTCCCATTACTCCACATGCATGCATTGCATCCCCGTGCGCATCTATGTTTTTCGTACTCATTCTCTTATTCATTGAAATTAAGCGTTAAAATTCATGCTCAATGTGAGCTTGTATGCTTGACCTCTCGACGAAGGACAGACTAACATGTGTGATAATAAAGTGCGAGCACTCGCCTATCTTTTTTTGTTCTCTTTCTGTTTGTAAATGTGCTCAGTTGATCCGTCAGTGTAAACTCACTTGATCTCTTCACTCACGTGTAGTGATTCATACCTTATCTACAAAAAAAGGGTAATCATGAAGTGGAGAATAGATTCATACACACTACAGTTCGTAGAGTCATTTACTCTCCAATACACTATGCTTGAACAAGATACAATTTTTAAAATGATGGTCAAAACAAGAAAAGGGAGAACAAGACAAACAAAAAGATATACAACAAGAAAGAAAGAGACAGTGCAGTACTTATAAAATATACGCTCTTCAATCAAATCATCATTTACTATTGTGATATTCAATCTGTGTGCTTATTCACGCCTGTTTACTGTTTTCTATCGAGTTGTTCTGATGGCCAGAGTGAATTTCTGTTTGGTCAATGATGACGAGTGTGGCGGAGACAAAAATGGATCCCTTATCTGTCTGGCGGATATAAACAAGAAGATAAATAAGTCTCAATTTCCAAAGACACGTACCATTGCTCAGGCCATTTTATATCGAGCCGACATCGAAGACGAATCGAAGGTCGACTTGAATAAAACGTTCATTTGTGATAATCCCTTCAGCCGGTTATTTGCTCAATTTAGTCCCAAAAAGCACAAACGATGTTATACCTGCAACACCTTATCCGGTTTATCTCCACCAAGCACGAAGCGACTGAGACAAATCAGCCGTAAATATGCGCAGCGCCGTATTCATTCCAACTTCGACCTCAAACATTCATACGGCGAATTTATGTGTGAACTCTGTCGCAAAGATTACGACGTATACAAAGCGGTTTTTCTCTCAAAGCGGGTATCACGATTTATCGAAAGGCGTAAGAATCAACAAAAACCTACAACTGATTCACTCACAATGAATACCGATAATGACGACGTTATAAATAACTCAACAAGCGACGAGGACTCAAACACAAATAGTTATGCCGATACTGACGAAGATTTCTTGCCAGGAGATGATAAAGAATCAACAACAACACTTCGGAAAGCCCTTGATCATCTACTAGATCTATGCGGAAACAAATATCGAACGTGGGTGACTCAAGACTATCAAGCACTGGTAGGACAAACTCGCCTCAACTATCTATGTCGGGGTCGTTCAATTATCAGAACTGTGATGAACATCATGGCTCCGAATGATGCTAATCAGCTGGAAATAGATTTGTTTGATCATCAAGGTGACAAGAATGTAGTCAAACTCGATGGTCATTTCCTTTCTGTCATGCAAGGCGTCACCGAAGCCTACAATAATGCCGAATCGTGGACAACACGTCGTGAAATTTTATCGATCATAGCACCCAAAATCAATTTGAAACTCATTCAATCGTTTATACCTGGCCTCACTTTGGGCCGCTTTACAGCTGCTCGCAGACACACAACTGAATTTGGTTATGGCGCTTCCATTGATAAGTCACCCGTCATGGTCCAACGCTTTGACTACGACCAGGTCGAGCATTTTATCGATTTTATCACGTCCGAACACGTTTGTACGGATCTTCCATTTGGAGAAAAATGTCTGAAACAATCAAATGGAGAAGAACTCTATGTACCCAATACTATTAGAAACATGATTCCGACCCGCATTATCCAGCAGTATTACATCTATTGTCAGGAAAGTTCGCTGGGCTTCTGTCCGTTAGGACGGAGCAGTCTATATTCGTTACTCGACGTTTGTAAAGCATCAACTCGCAAATCTTTGCAAGGAATAAATTACTTTGCTGCTGATGCCGGTGAAGCGTTTGATTCAATTGAAGAATTGATCAGTGAACTTCACCTTGACATAACGAAACATCGTCGCGTTCTTGAGAATTTGAAGCGAGGTCGCCAATATTTAAAATCTGATTACAAGGTACATGTGACAAAATCATCCACAATAGCAGACCATTGTGCCACTTTTGCGCTGTCGGACAAGTTAGACAAGGACTTTCAACAGATGTGCGATCATGAACATAACGACACATGTGATGAATGTGACATTCTTCAACCTACTTTCGACGAGATCAAACATGACATTGGCAATTCTACCGCTGATACGCAATTATCAGCTCGACTACTTGCTAAGTTTATGTCACATGAAGAAGCAATTAATGTCTGGAAGTCACATCTGCTGCGTGCAATTAATCAAGATCTATGTCGGGAAGAAATACTTTCGACATTAGCCGATGACTCAGTGTACATTCACATGGACTGGGCCATGAAGTGGCTTCCAGAGAAGTATCGAGAAGGCCAATAAAATTTCTACGGTAAACGTGGTCTTAGCTGGCACATCAGTGTGGTTGCACGTAAGAATGAACAATCGGCTAAAGATCCAGACGAGACTATCAGTGAGGAGAATTCAGTCGAAGACGAAAATACATACAGCTACTTGATTATCGTACATGTATTCGATCACTGCATACAAGACAGTGAAGCAGTCATAGCCATCTTACGTGATGTCCTTCTTCGTATTAAACAAGTCGATGATACTGTAAAAGACGCTTATATTCGCTCTGACAACGCTGGTTGCTATCATTCGGCACAAACCATCTTCTCACTACCTCTAATATCAAATGAAAGCAAAATCCGAATTCGTCGAATCGACTTCTGTGATCCTCAGGGAGGTAAAGGTGCTTGTGATCGATATGCAGCCGTCATCAAGTCGCATGTGCGTCGCTTCCTCGATGAAAAGCACAACGTAACTACTGCAGCCGAATTCGTTGAAGCAATCTACTCAAATGAAGGCGTTCAAGGAGTTTGCGCGTACGAAGCCCGATTGGACCAGCTAATCCTAGGTCCTCCATCGCAACTTGCTAAGATTAGTCTCTTCCATAATTTCTCCTTCGAACCGCACGGTGTTCGCGTGCATCGCTCATGGAAAGTTGGCGATGGTAAATTTCTTCCATTTTCGAAGATTGAACCTCCAGACAATATTAGCACAATTTTATGCAGTGATACGCCAAAACACAAAGCCGTTTCATTTACAAAAACGCAATCCAAGAAAAAACAACACTACTCATCAAAACAATCAACTGACATTCCTAACAACACTTTCGTAAGTCGTCTTTTCGATTGCTATGAAGAAGGATGCATCAAGAAATTCTTGAATCCTGGAAATCTCGTCAGCCATCTGGTTGTTGGAAAACATCAGCGTCTACCAGAACGCACTTCATTACGAGATACTGGAATGCAGATTTACGCGTCGAAGCTCGAAAGAGTCGGTCAGAGAGAGCTAGTATCCGTTGCTCTTCAAAACACCACCACAACAGCCAACCGACATGCAATTAGGCAAAACTTAAGCAACGGTTGGGCACTTCCAAAAATCCGAAAAGTTACACGACTTACTTCGAAACAAATTGAATATTTGACCAATAAATTCAACGACGGTATAAAGAACAACATCCGATGGAAACCCGAAACTGTGGCCGCTGAAATGGAGTGCCTCAAAGAAAAGGGTGCATTTGTTTTTGCTGAGAAGGAATTCCTCAAAGCCAGTCAAATTCGAAGTTACTTTTCCAGACTCAAATCGAATCGTCAGAAGCTTAATGTCGAAGATTTCATCGATGAGGATGCGGAGCGCATTCAAAGACGAGCAAGCTATCGATGAAGCCGTTCAACGGCGACAACTTCGACACAAGGTGCACAATATTGATCAACTTCAACGCGCAACATCACCAAAACGACCTACTTCTTCATCAAAAATACCGGCCAAACGAAGCTCCCTGCGCAACAAAAAAACTACATGATTTTTTCAATAAAATTTCCTAGAATCGATTTCGGCATCCTTTAGAAAATGGTTCTAAGCATCTTTNAATTAATTTTTTACTAATTACGAACTTTAATTAGCATTTTTTCGTCAAAATATGCCTGATTCTTAGCATTTTAAGCTGTAAATATCAAGGGAATGTGTTCACAATTATAATGCCACCCTTAAAACCCTGAAAATCCTGATGGAAATCCTGAAAATCACCTTAGTTTTCTGGAAAACCTTTTTAATTAGATATCAGAAAAAAATGCGGTTCTTAATACAAGACCCCCCTAGAAAATTTTTACGCTGCAACATAATAGAAGACCAGTTTTAGTATCTCATATCCCGATATATTGAATATTTGAAAAAGCTCTCATGTGAAAAAGCAAAATTTATATCTCCAAAAAAGAAAATACTATTATAGTCAAGGTAAAACTTGTACAATTAACTAATCTTCTTGAGAACTTTACCCGTACGAACTTTGAAGGCGAAAGTCGATATTTCAGCATGATTTTTTTATTGAAAAATTCAGTTAAATTTCGATAAACGAAGGCTCGAAAAAGCAAACGATTTCAGAATTTTCTATTACTTATCAAATGAACATTGTCTCGGTCGATAAGTGATTTGGCATCTGAAGAGCTTCTCTCGTGAGTACCAGTCCTACACGTTAATTATTGAAAGGATCATTAGTCCATCTAGATACCAGTCCAATTTAGTACTAGACCGATAAAGACTGATGCATATCTATTTCTGTTATGTCTTCTGAGAGAAAGTATTTTCGTATGAATATCTGACAGAAGAATAGCTAAAATTACCTTTCGGTCGGTATTTGCCACAAGACAGTAAAAAATTTCGCAGAAATTTCAATATTTTTCGGAGGACAAAGTCACTTTCTCATCGGAAATCCTGTACTGAAAGAAGATTGTGAACTATTTAATAATTAATTCAAAAAATAACTTCTTACCAAAATCTGTTTATCATCAATCTTAGATAATATATCTTAATAAACATGTTGTATTAATTCGAAATCATTTTCTATCATTTTTTCTTTGATTTGAATTTCTTTTTTCCGATTTTAATAAATTAATTTTCTCTAACATATTTTGATTATTATCACTTAATAACAAAATCATATTCGAATTTTTTCCTTCAATAATAATATAATCAAGAAAATAATCAATAATATCTTGTTGATTATTTGTTTTTCTTAATAAATAACTCTATAAATAAATATGAATGAAATTGGTTTATTAATTTTTTATTTAAATCATATTGATAAATTTTTCGTGTTTCTTGATACAATACTAATGATGATGTTTGTTCAACAAAACCATAGTAAATTTCAATAATTTTATTTATTAATTGTAGTCTGTTTCATTAATTTTAAAACAGTTTCATAATGATTTTTTAAAAATTTCTCATTATCATTTGTTTTTATAATTTTTACGAATTGATAACATAAATTAATATCAATAATCATTTTATGATTAATTAATAATTTGAAATATTTCATAAATAAGATAATTATTTAAAGTAGAAATACATACATGAGTTATATAAAAGTAGGTATACAGGTTTATGGAATAAATTTATTTGTTATTTTATGATGATTCCAATGAATTACACACATTTTCATTCCATTGAATTATCTTAAATTACAATTGATTTATGAGAGAATATCCAGATTATGTTGTTCATGTTTATGCTGTTTTGTTTTTAATGTTGAAAAATGAGTTCATACAGTCAACAAATAGATCTTTGCCTGTACTTTTTTGTCTTTTTAACATCTGTTTAAAGCTTTTTGGTTGTAGGATTGAAAATAATCGCTTAAGATCGAAAATTCCCATATTATGATAAAATAAAAGATTTTTTCATTAAAATACTTCTACATTATTGATTTATTAGAAATTGTATAAAAAGATACTAATTGAGAAAGACTCCTAATTTATATTGTTACAGGTAAAATTGAGCATGTAATACATCATGGTGAAGGACGTGCATCTTCAGAATCAATGGTTTGTTCAATAAGTGGCTCACAAGCAAGCATATTTTCATTGTATAATGCTGCTTCAATATTTACTGTTGATACAAGACTCACCTGAATAAATGAAAAGATAAAATAAAAATGAATCAAGATAAAAAATTTGTTACACTCGATGGCCAATTTTGAACATCAGCAGTTAAATTTGATAAGCACATAGCTACAACAGATTTTGTTACTGAACCTGATCCAACTTCAAGTTTTATTTCAATTGTTTCCAATGTTAAAAATAACTAAAAAAAAAATTTTATATTCGGTAAAAAAAATCGTTTCTTTGGCTTTTTATTTTAATACTTTTTGTGCTAATGGTGTTTGTATTTCTTCATTTTCTTTAATTTTCTTTTCTTCCTGTTTAATAGCTTTCTGTTGTGATGAAGCATCTTGAGTGGTGTTTGATTCATCAGTCTCTTGCGCTTGTTTTTCAAAATCTATTCAATAAATTTATTGATTAAATTCTATGAAAATATTTAATGAAACCTTTTGTAAACCAAAAATTTCCATCTTTAATTGATTTTGGATTAAATAATGATTTTGAATTAATTTTTTCCGTTTCATCTTTGGTAATTGACTAAAAATTACAACAAATAATAATACAAGCAAATTTGATAGCTTATTTGTTTTAACCTGTAATGTTCCTAATGAACTTGTGACATCAATAAGAGTACGAATAGCAGCTGGTGCAATACTAACAATAATATCTGATATTCGTACATCCATTTTTTGTTGTTCATTATTCATGGATAAGAAAATATCAACTTTAGCTGGTTGTAAAATCTTAAGAAAAAGTTCAATAATAGAATAAATGAAGTATTTATTAACACTTACACGATATTTTATTTTTGATCCAGAATCATTCGAATCTCTTAATTCAGCCAAATTTGAACTATAAACTGTTAAATTTTTTAACCAACCATATAATTGTGTTTCATTATCAATAATTATCATACGTAATTATAAAGCTAACTAAAATATGTTATTTTGTTGTTTTTTGTAAAAATGGTTATTTAATCAAATACAATGAAACTTACATCAAGTACAAGACAATTTGAATTTGAAGTTTTCAATGAAAATATCGTTTAACACTGCTTTACCTGGGGCGCAAGCATATACAATAGAAGATTTCGGAGGAGCATGCATAGACGCTAGACCTTGCTTTATATTTGTGGTACGAGCTCGAATCAATTTTCTGCAACAGCCAAATATATAGATTGTAACACAATATGATTTATCATCTATTTTCTTCATAATATATTGTACATCAATAGCATGATTCGCAATGTAATCACGTTCTTGACCTCAAAAATTATAATCATAATCTGATGGTAACAAATAATTTTCATCACCCAATTGTTTGCCATGACCAGCAAAATAAAATGACCCCCCTAGAAAATTTTTACGCTGCAACATAATAGAAGACCNTCAGCATCATTAATACAGTATTGTAATGAATCACGTTGATATTGATTAACACCGATGATTAGCGCATGCTTTCGCTGATATGCAATGGGTGATGCCATTAGATATCTGAAATATGCGATCAAATATAATGCAAAGAAAGAGAATTTCTTTTTTGTTGTAGTACATTTTTATGTATTTTCAAGTTAATATGCTTCCCATCATCGAATTTATTGTTAAATATAGATGAAACGTTTTTTCTCTGAAATTATTTCTTACTATTAAATACGTATACATGTATAAAAAGTAATCCACTATTTAATTTATATACGTATTTATAACCGTTTACAATCAGTTAGGAATAATAGACGTAATGAAAGTTATCTCTCATGAAATTTATATTTGTGTTTACCATGTGCACACATTGATTCGTTTTTCTTCATTATGGTGACGCTGACTTGAAACAACACACTGTTTGTTGATGTAGTATGGCGAAGTTTTAAGTTGGCTCTCAAAGTAGTGACGTACCTGTAATATTTTGTTGTTCTGTTTCTCTTATTTTGTGTTTTATTCTTTGGAGAGAAATAAAACAAGAAAAGAGAAACAAGAATTTTTTCGTCATGATGAATAGACTTTCTTTTTTCCAATTTAATACTGAACGACAAAGTAACAGCGAATATATTTCAATCTGTTACAAAGTATCACGTTGAATTTTAAATTCAAGTCATGTCGATAGGTTCTTCTACCAATGACAATGAACAAATATTAGCTGCAGCGCTTTCAGCAATATTGGGTAAAAACATTCTACCTGAATCCAGTGTATCAGAACAATCACAGCAGCATATAAGCAAAATTTCTATATTCAATCAGCATTTAGCATGCTTTATCTACGGAAAAGTTGGTCAACATGATACAAATAGCGATGAATCGTTCATGACACTATACATTACAATTCTAGCAACGAAAACAACGTTCCCATGTGTGATTGAATGTGATGCAAGTGTCGATAAACTGAAACAGATAATTTATGAGAAAGAAGGCTTATTATGTAGCAAACAAAATTTAATTCATTGCGGACAAGAAATCGATGAAGGCCATCTACTTAGTGAATATGATATTCAAGATTCTAGTCAAGTAACTGTCGTACGTTTGCGATCAATGGATACTGACTTGTTAGTCTTGGATAAAAATTCATTGGACAGCAAGTACGACTATGATTTTACTAATATTAATGATAATGGGAAAACTTTTACCCGTGGTAGTATTGAATATCGTCGACCATGCGGATGGAAACGCTTTGCGATTAGAGTAGCAGGCAAGTATGAAGATGAAATTTGGCTTGGTTCGAATAATAATTCAAATGAATGGCCAGTATCTTATCATGGAACAAAACACGATGCAGTGAGTTCGATTGCACAAATGGGCTATGATCTAACAAAGCATAAACGTTTTGCTCATGGTCGTGGTATTTATTCAACACCAGACGTCAACATTGCAAAAGGCTTTGCGAAACCTTTTGTCAAAGATGGACAGCAGTATTTAATTATTCTGCAAAATCGCGTCAACCCAAAAACTTTAGTGAAACTCTTGCCTGACAAAACTGGAAATGGTGAATATTGGATATCGCCTGACGCTACTGATATTAGACCATACGGTTTGTGTGTAATGAAAAAACCATGATATATTATATATTAATTTCATGTATTATATGACTCAAAAATACTGAAATCATTTTTTTAAAGTTGTTATTGAAAAATGTATCTTATTTAGAATGTTAATAAGTCATCTAATATTATATATAAACTCTTTTCTCACAGACGCACATATTCTGACATCGCATGACAAACATGAACTTAGAAAAATTAACGAAAATATGAATTGATATTTAATGTGAACTGTAATGTTATTTTGATTTATACAATTATTTTTATAAACCGCGAGAAGCAATATTCAACATCATATTCAATTATGAACATAAATGAAATGATTCATATGAATCAGATCATCCATGAAACTTGTCAATACAGTAAAAAGATATATAATATTATTGTAATGACATTGTGATGTCATTTAAAAAAGAGAACATCAGTGGAGCTAAAGAAGCTAGTATAGAAGCATGTTAACATGGTTGCGTAGCGTCACGTTTAAAACAAAATAGGAATGCATTGCAATTATAAGACAGTATTAATACCGGGATGTTCTTCAACAATATAGGGTATATATAGGGCACTGATTTCCACTAAGAGAGTTTTTAAAACTCTATAAAAAGATATAAAAAACATTGTAGATGACAAGTTGCTTGTTATTACATAAACTGCGTACGTTAAATAAAAGAATATTTTCGATTTGTGAACAAGTGAAACAAGAATTTTGTTCCTCAAAGGAGTAATAGCGTTTATTCATGCTTAATTTTAATTCCAACTACTCTATGCGCGTTATGCGCAAAACTTGAACTTCAACATAAATATAAACAGAATCAAATGTCATGGATAAATCATAAAAAGACTTTTTTTGTTCAAAAATACAAACCATAACTTTTGCTAATATGATCATAGTGCTTATGAAAATATACAATCGAACCATTTCAGTTTGACTTGAAATTAAAACTCACTCACGTTTTAAATTTCTCAAGTCGCAATCGGAACGATTTTTTATGAACAGAAAGACGATGAAATCACGCTAATTGAATGCGAATATGGACATGTCTTGTCGTTGGTTTATGACTGCCTGATTCTGAATCTGAATACGAATCTCTACTACATCTTCACTTCTATGCATAATTATTCTATAAAGCTTTCGAAAGATAGAAAGAATCTTGTTTTATATAGTTTTTTCTTTCTTCAGCTTCTCCTAATCAGCAAAATAGCTTTTAATATAAGCCAATAAAGATCATCGAGTTCGGGTCTGAAAATTTCATTTATAAGTTCTCAATTAACAGGAAAAATCGATTCATATAAAAATATGTTTTGCATTTGTGTTCGTAGTATCAAAAGAAAAATACCATCAATTTATTTATAAACAGTAGATGATTTTGTTGACTCGTTATAGTATGCTTGAATTGTCATCATTTTTATATTAAATCATGAAGTTCGCTCTTCTTTACAAATAAATTTATATTTTTTCATGTACATAATTCAGTAAGAAACAATATTTCATGTATCATGATACACTAAATGAATACGAGAAATAATATGCAGCCTTTCTAATGTTGTATGTTTTCATTCTTTCATCGGACGCTTTTAGTTACGAGCAGGATCTTATTGTTATGAAATTACTGCCAGATTGTTTAAAGACTCTGGGAAGTATACTAGTCATCGAACAAGAGTACTCTTAAATTCAACATCCCGGACAATTGATCAGTAAGGTCTAGAAAGAGAAATTCTGGAAACGTACGAGCTTCACAACTCAATCAAAATTATATTGAAAAAGTTCAGTCTCTTATTTTACCTGGACAACTGATACATGTATTAAGATTCCAACTTTCAACTTTAATAAATATATTTTCTTTCGCACTTGTGCTATGTTACAGAGATTAGCGATCGAAGTTGTGAGTGATTCTGAATCTGCTAATGATAATGTTTAAGATACGAGCTAACTCAATTTTTGCAAGAATAATTCAGTTTTTCAAAAAAAAAGAGGAATATAGAAAAAAAAGCTTAAAACAGTCTGTGATAGGATAGGATCCATTTAAGAAACATAGGAAATATAGAAGTATAGCCTCGCTACGAAACCAGTTCGTCTATTATATTCACCATTCATATTTCGATTGACTCGACGTATTGTTGGTAATAGAACATCAATGATATCATAAATATTGAGAGTATGTGAAAAACTCAATGTATGTATTTTGTGTGTATTATTCTCTAATATCAGTATATGAAACACCTTTTGTGTTCTCTTTGTTCTGTTAATTTTGTAACATAAAAACCATTTTTCATTTCTAATGATTAAAACAAATGTCGATTTTATTAGACAGAACAATAACGATAAAATTTCATTTGACAATCAACTTCTAAAATTAAATACAAACAAAAAAGAAAATGACTTTTCTTCAAGTTGTTTTCCATTTCATACGGACTACATGTCTTACTGATCTTTTACGCGCTGGGTCATCTTCTGGAAAAATTTTTGCCCGAATTTTCCATGCTTTCTCAAAATATTCTAAAGCAAGTTGATTCTCTTCCATTGCTTCATATTTATGTCCTGCACTACTGAAACTTATTGCAAGATCAGGATGATCAAAGGGCAATACTCGTTCACGCATTTTTAACGCTTGCAAACACAGTTCTAGGGCTTTCACCTTTTCTCCTTTCGCGCTGAGAACGGTAGAGATACTATTAAGAGTTGCAGCAATTGCTGGATGATCTGAAGGAAAGCACTTTTTTTTCATAGCTAGTGCCAGATAATAATGATTGAGAGCTTTTTCATGTTGACTTTTAGTCTGATAAACATCTGCAATATTATGAAGAACATTAGCGATATCAGAATGATCTTCGGGTAAACATGCTTCATAGATTTGAAAAGATGAAAGAAAAAAATTGAATGCTTTTTCACTATCTTTGGTCATTAGATGAACGACACCGATTGAATTTACAGTTTCAGCAATGTGAACATGAATTTTAGGTAAACAAGCTCGCTTGATATTCAATGCTTGTTCATAATAATTCAGTGCTTCACGATACTTGCGTAGTCCTCGATAACACGATCCAATATTATGCAGACAATGAGCCATTTCGAGTTGACACAAATCATTAAATTCTTCCAATATTTGTTTTGCTCTATTACAGTACTTAAGCGCTTCCTCATATTGACCTTGTTCAACTAAAACATGGCTCATGTTACGTAATATATGTGTGGATTCTCGAAGCAAAGATGGATGGGATTTTCTCATCAGTTGATAGGCTACATCAAAATGATGCATAGCTTGCTCATATTCAGCATTGGCCTGACATACTAGGCCAAGTTGATTATGGATATATGCAAGATTTTCATTTCCAGGCTCTCTTAATAATTGTTGAAAATAAGTTTGAGCTGCCTGATAGTGACCCATCCGAGTCAATAGTGATCCAAATAATATTGATACACTATTTCCTTGCATTTCATTCTTTGTTTCTTCGATATACTGTCTAGCTATTTCTTGTCCTTCACCTGTTACACTCAATGAAATTTTCCAAAGATCATCTTCTTCAGTAACCGATTGAACTTTAAAAACGGCACCCAAGTCAAATAATACTTCTTGTTCGTCAGGAAAATCACTGAAATTTGTTATATCGGCAAAGACAGAAGACGTTTCCTCTTCGTTTCGACATTCAATCTCAAATAGTACTGGAACAGAGTCAGACTGATTTTTATCCTTTATAGCAAAATTAATTGCTATGGAACGTGAACGACTTGTGGATAAATAACCATTAATGGAAATGAGTTTACCCTCATTGGATCGAAATTCTTCAAGTTCAGTCAATGTTAATCGTACACCACGATAGACAGTTGTGAATATCTCATTATCAGTCTCCACCATCATTTTATTGTGTTCACGTGCCAAGGTCAACGACAGATCAGCAATAAAGAAGCGAAAAGTATACAGTTGTTGAATATCTTCTGTACGTAGTGCTTTATTTAACATTTTATAGACAAACGTCTCTCGTGTATACCATTGAATGCAATTCTCACTTGTATAAGAATTTTCAAATTCATCAATTGATTTTAATGCCCTTTCATTCCCTTGATAATAATTGCGACATGCATGAATCATTTGTTTTTTGGCCTTAGGATTTGAAGGAAACGAAACAATGACATTGCTACATAATTGAAACCTTTGAATACAAAGAATAGTATATAAAATCCAATGACAACAGCTATTTTATCAGGACTTTTTTTAATTGTCTATCTGTTGTATTAAGAGGTTCTACAAACTCTTTTATTTCACAAAGCTGCTAATGATAAGACTCCTTTATTTTTACGCAACGTTTATTGCTCTAAAATTGAATTTCGATAATTGCGAAAAAGATTCTTACCAAAGAAATTCTGCGGCCCGTTCTGATACATTGATCGAAATTTTCTGTTTTTGATCATAGAAACTGAATGTTTCCACTTGTTTATTGAATAAACGAAGTTTTTTACAAAGGTTTGCGTCTAGCTCTATTCTATCAGTGAATATGCCGGATATCTTGGAAAATCTTTCCATCAAGTCTAAGTTTTCTTCACGCCATGTACAATATATGAATACTGATTCGAGTTGTTTTAAATCAATAATAGGAGGTAACAAAATTGTTGCCCATATTTCTGAAGTAATCAAAAAAAGTTTTTCGTCGGTGACTGATTTAATGTATGAAATGCATTCTTCTATGTTATTGTAAGCGAGAACATAATCATTGATCTCACGTAAACTCTTCATTCTATCTGCCATTGAATTCATCTCACCAATTTTTGAATCAAACCAAATCAGGGTAATATTCTCCCTATTCGTTTCTGATGATCGATCACATAATGATGCCATTTTATTTTTTATTCACACAACAATCGTATTTCGACGTGTCACACTTTAACAAATGTCTCTATCGGTGCAAAGACAACATTTGTCTTGCTATTTAAACGATTGGTTAATTTTCTTCCGTCGTCGAGAAAGACATGAAACATTTGAAAAAAGCTAACTGGTGACTGATTTCTTTTTTCGCTCTGTATTCTTTCGAATTCTTTTCGTGTGTCGGTGGCAATGCAGGCTAATAAGGCAAATTCCAGCTTCACCGACTCCAACTTCGCTGAATAAAAATCTTGACCGAAAAATATCGAATCAAATTTGACCCATTCTACATGTAGAATTTTATCCTAACCAACTACTCTAATAGTGGCTTGATTAATTAACCCATCTGACTTGATGACCAAGTGAATTACATCTGGTGCCTTGTCCCAACAGGTGTGAGGGTGGGTGTGGGTTATCAACTCAGTTTATTACTCACTCAGTTGGTTACCAACTCAGATGGTTACCAAGTCAGTTGGCTACCAAGTCAGATGGGGTTAATTAGTCAAGTCACTATTAAAGTAGTGAGTTAGAATAAAATTCTATATATAGAATGGATCAAATTTGATTCGATATTTTTCGATCAGGATTTTTATTCGGCGAAGTTGGAGTAGGCGAAGCTGTACTAATTCGACTAATAATAAAGCGCCAGTCTACTTTTGAACAATGCGATAGACAGAATAGTAGAGGAAAAAAGTTTAAAATCATAACCAGTAAAGATTGAAACGCAATAGATGCTAGGCATTTTGAGATGAATTTTGGATTAAAGAAAGGAGAAGATATAAATCAGCTGAGTTTTACGCAGGATCATCTTTCATAGGACGGACTAGACTTCAACCTAGAGGCTGAACTACTCACTTTGTTTTGCTCTTTGTCCTATCCATTCTCATTCTCATAAGTGTTGTAGTACTGCAATCCTATAAATACTTGAAATAGTTTATCATATCAAAGTATTCACATGAGATAACCAATTTAGCAATAGTTCATTACTAAGTTTAAGAGAAATTATTGCCTCAGATATTTTATTCTTATGCAGTTTTTACCTCTTCCAGAATGTATATTTACAATTGTTGAAAATAATTAGTTTCTTATTTATGCTATTGGTGTGAATTATCAATGTAATAAATGACTGATACTTAATGCGACATGACCATGAGCTCATGATCTTATACGAGAAACGATTTATAGATTTAATAAATAATTACCGCTGTATCGACAATATTGCAGTATATTGTTATCCATAGATATTACTATCTGATGTTAGTATCGTATGACTTTCTCACTGATCAATTAAATAATTAACTAGACAGCTACGTCATATGTTATAGTAAAATAATAAAACAGAGTGGACACGAATAATGTCGCCAATAATAAATAGATAGAATCCGAAGGTAATGACTTCACCGCTGGATCCCGCTAATTTCTAGTAGAAATCTGCAGGAAATACACGTCGTTGTCGGGCGAAAAATTCTAGATTCCAAGTGCCTAACATTTTCTGACCGTACCTCATTGATCTAGGATAGACCTAAAATGAAGGAAAACACTGACTGAGGTGTGCATTGTCAGATTCGTTTTTTCTGGGTTATACGGTGTTAGCTGAATTTTCTCAAAGCGTAGTCCGACAGTATTGAGAAACTCTTTTCGAAGCCTATGCTATTTTTTGATACATAACGTCTCTAACGATCTATTGAGGTCAAAATGACTTCGGTTAGTTTCATGAAATCATGCTACGAACTTTTCGGAAAAATTCAATTGCATTGATAATATTTTTGATACCTATGCTGAAAGTTTAGTTTTAAATTCATGAAAAACTACATTAATTTCTTTATATTTTCGATAATTTCATTGAATCCCTTCTTCCAAATTCTGTAGAAACTATTTTCAAAGTTTGATGATGTGTTTAAGTGTTATTGTGCATTTAATCAAAGAACACTGAGAACTACCAAAAAACAAAACTTGGGAAATGTCGAAGAACACTTTCTGCCAAACTTTCTATGTTATAATTTTTGTTTTAACTAGATATTGACTCTAACAAGTATTTACTCTGACTGAAAGTAACACTATTATATTGGAATAGTCTTGCTCGAATAAGTAATGATCATGGTGTTTTCATTTTCGAAGTAGTTCATGCAATTCTAGGTTAATGATAGAAATATGCAACAAAAATAACATATGATTTAACACATAAAGATTCATCTATCGGGTAAAATAAGTTAGATTAATTGTTGTGCTAATTTCTATAAGTCAGTTCTGCCAAAACCGGTAGATGATCTGAGGGATAAAACTTATTATTGGAATCAGTTAAATGTGCATGTCGTAGCACTTCTAAACGTGCTGGCGTAATGAAAATGTAATCTATTCGATCACCTATATCATATTTTACGTCAAAGGTAGACCAAGTGCCATCAGGACCAGAATGAACAGATGCTGTCGAAAGCTTTGCATCTGCGAATTTTATGTTATTTGTAATTGTACGATAAGCATCTGATTCAGGCCCTGAATTGAAGTCACCAGTCAAAATTGCATGTGTTGCATATCCAACTATCTGTTCTATACGAGTTAAGATAAGTTTAGCACTTTCTCGACGAGCTACTAGACCTTTGTGATCAAAATGAGTATTGAAATAAAACATTTCTTTGTTCATCAGTCGATCTCTGAGTTTGACCCAGCTGCATATACGTGGCAAAGCTGCATCCCATCCTTTAGTACCAGGTTTATCTGGTGTTTCTGACAACCAGAAAGTACCTTTATCATTGAGTTCAAAACGATCATGCCGATAAAATATGGCACAGCACTCGCCATTATCTTTTCCATCGTTTCGACCAACAGCATAAGAACCGTAATTCGATAATCCAGATGTTAAATCTGTCATCTGCTTAGGAAGACATTCTTGAACGCCAAGAATATCAGGTAAATAATGTTGAATAAGATTAATAACACGATCTTTACGAAAATACCATTGATTTCGACCATCAATAATAGTATCCAAACGAATATTGTAAGTCATTACACGAAACGGCCATGTATGTTGCTCGAATGACATCATCTGAGAAAATATAATATGAATGAAAAGAATCTCTTATTAAAGTCTTAAATAACGACCAATGATATGTTAAATTATTTAGTCTAAGAAGACAAAGTTGAGTTTCGAATAAAAAATGCAAATAAAAACAAATGCAATAACCCCTTCAATAAAACTTTGTTGATTGATTTAATTTATCTTTTCTGAGTAAGTTGGTTGGTCACACAAGAAGAATTTCTATTAGTCGAATATAAAAGAATACTTCATAGAAAACCAAAATTTGCGAAGCGACAGTTTTCATTAAGATCTATCGCCATCTATATTTTGAAAATTATACATTAGGCTAGAAGATATCTATATTGGGATCAAAGTGTTTTTTGATACATGAGAGTAATGATCGAAGTTTATGGAATTTTAATTCTTTCGTAGAAAAAAGAATGCCCTATTCATCATTTTTCGAATAAAATTAATTTTACTATATCAGCGAGTTAACTTTAGCATGTTAGCCTTATGTTCATATTACATTTTATGTTCATTGAATTGTAGTAAGTCAGAAAGGACAAGATTACCATTATACAACATTAATAAGAGTCTGTTCAGCAAGCAAAATTTGAAGCAATTCTATTAGTCATATGTGAGGATTTTGTGTCGATTTCTAATCAACTATGAATAGTAAAGTCTAAAAAAAGCAATACCCATACATTAGGTAAGTGATAAGATATACATAACAAGCAATTTATGATGTGTGTGAACACTTGCATATCCTAGTTTTCAAATACGGAAGGTATTCAATTTTCATTTTTCGTTTTCGGATTTTTTCACCAAACAAAATGCGTTACAGTCTGAAAACAGCGAAAATCTTCTAAAACTAGGTGTAAATATCTCACACTCTTCCATGAACACATTTTCGTCTTTGCATGTGTATTTAAGTTTTAATAAGTTTAATGAAATATTTAAAAAATTAGTTCTTAGCGTCTGAACAATTAATGTAGTTTGAATATAGCATTGATCATCTCATTTAGGAAGAAAGTGCTGATAAATATCATCTGCGTACTGCCATAGCAGTTAACATGTTCGAAAATTTATTTCGAAAAAAGCATTCATATCTAGTTTGATATCAATAAAAGCATACAACAATCAGTAATTAAAATACGAAAAATAAACTGGAGAAAAAGGTGCATCTATGCATATATCCCTTATATCAAAATTTCTTAGTTTTAGTTTTAACGCAGCTTTTGACACATAAATGGCTGTTAAATTAAGATATCCGAAGATAGGTTTTACTTCTACGCTCGATCTACGATTTCGCAGAAAATTATACTATACATAATTTATTATGGATTCGAGCAGCACAAATTTCACAACCTTCCTTCAATTGACATCACTGGAGATGAGATGTCTATGTAGAATCTACAAAAGTCAATAAATCTCAATCTATTCAATTTTCCTCATGCCGTACTTTTAATCTTTTTTTCATAATGACACAAAATTGTTAGCTCTCACCACTGAATCGAAATCTTCATACTCGTTTAGATCTCATAGATTCAGTGCATGCTAGAGATTGAGCTACTTTACACTACAATGATAAATTTTGATGTATTTTCAAGAATTTTCTATGATTATCTTTAAAATTCTACAAAAAATGATGCTGAGTTATAATTATCTTTTGTTCGAATAAAATTGGTGATGTTTTTCGTACGAAAGTAGCGTTTTACCGCTGATTTCATCACATCTCAAACAATTATCTACAAGACAACGTCAAGCAAGTAAATGTCAAAACTTGAGTTTATGAGATATGCTCATAGATTATTAGTGGTGTCAATTTACAGTTTATTTAATTTAAATTTAACTTCGTGAAAAGTTAAATTAATTTTAAATTAAATTCTATAAAGTTAAATTTAAATAAAATGAAAACTTTCAGAATTTAAATTTTAAATTTAATAAATTGTTTGGATGGATACACATCATTGCTATGAGGAAAATACGTGACTGCAACAGTAGTAAATACTAAAGGAGAGGAAAACTTAGTATTTTAGGTTAATATTTGTTCATAATAGTCAAAATTTCTCTACAGATTATGCAGGATCCGTCATCTTTCTTCTTCAAAATACTGGGATACTCATAAAAATATATTTAATAGCACAATTCGTAGAAGAATGACTAGCTTTAACCCTATAAATTATACTGCGCTCTTTGGTATGCTAGGAGTTACAATGGGTTTGCCCTACTAATATTTTTAGCGTGTTTAGGGGATCGTTTTTATTGTTAGATTTATGACGCACCTGTCAGTTAGTCCTTTTAGGTTACAATGCGAAAATATCTGCAAAACACATGAACCATTGAACTCGCCATTGCCCTTTCTCCTTGCTTTCGCACACGGAAGATCTTCGAAAAAAAATCAAAAGTCTTTTCGTATGCTGCTTATTACTATTTTTTTGATCAACTATCCAGGAAATTCATAAAAAGCCGATATCAAGAACTGAGACAAAGAAGTTTCGTCTACTTCGGAAGAAATAAAGTAAGAAAAAATGCACCATCATAACTGAAATCTTTCTAATAGGATTAGGATGCTATAGAACGGTGCTATGTTCTTATTCAAGTAACAAGCTTTCAATTCTGTATTTAGTACCCTCATAGAATTTTATTCAAACGAATAAACCTGAAAACAATTCTGTTAAAATTTTACAATAGCGGTTCGTCAATTTAAACAAGTGGATAACTCGCCATTGTAGCAATACCACACTGATTGTTTGAGTTACGAAGCATTAAAATGTAACCAGCATCGCCCCATCCATCACCCCATGAGTTCTTTACTATGTAATAATCGGTTGGGTGCTTCTTTCCCTCACTGCCGTACCCAACAGCTAATACACCATGATCAAGATTAGTTGACGAACACATCGGTTCATTATATATACCACTTGAATAAAACTGAAATGAATCTTGCGAAGCGTCAATGGCCACTGCAATTGGACCAACTGTAGCAATTGCACTGGTGAGATCGGTCTCATTTTGTTCTTGGATGTAAATAAAGCCCTAAAGAGATTGATACATCCCAACTTCTTATTTTCTATTGACAGATTGTACTTACGACATCAGTGGCAGCAACATCATCTGGTTTGAAACGGCATTTGTCATCATAGGCTTCATATGGGTAGCTCTTTTCAGAATCGATACCGTTATTTTGTTTAATATATTCAAAGGCAGCATTCATCAATCCACCATCGCAACCTTCATTACCAAAACTGGTCGAGCAATCAACCAGTTGTTGTTCAGAAAGTGAAGGAAGTGTTTTGGTTTTAGCAAAAGTTTGCCCTTCGAGTGAGCCTGTAGCTGAGAAAGCCCAACATGAACCACATTGACCTTGATCTTTGACTGAAGTAACATACCCTTCCTTGCGCCAATCTACAAAGTTTTAGATATTATCAACATCTTCATTTACTGAAAAAATCTTATTTAATTGTGAACTTACCGACTTGATCTGGAATTGCAACATTTGATGGTGCCAAAAACATGTGACGATCATATTTACTAGGATCAACATTTTTACTCATCTTGAATCCATTCATTGTTTTCTTAAATTCTTCATTACTCTACATAGTGATGAATCTATCGGTCAACTTAAAAAAATAATCCAAAATACATACCAAATCACCGAAACGATTCATTTCCATTGTATAACTGTGAAGACCCATATTGGATTCGAGATTATGTTTACGAATTTTGGCAAGATTTTCTTCCCATATTGTTCGCCTATTGATATCATATTATTTTTGTACAGTAATGGGAGCTATTAAAATAGAAATACTTCACCTACCGACTAACTTCTTCTTTTGTTGATGCATATTGTCTCTTGAAAACACGTTTAAATAAAGTCCAAGACTCGTTCAATTCTTCATCAAAGACCGGTGCACAATAAGTGCTCACGAAAAAAACACAGAAAACAAATATGATTCTCATTTTTGTTGTATGCTATTTCTTTGTTGACGAAGCGAAATTGAAAATAAAATAAGAGTGTAATAACTACATTTTTATATATCATTGCACTAGATTAATATGATAAGACATTTATTTTCATATCACTTACGAAAAGAAAAAATGTCACCGCTCACTTGCAACAGCAAAGGAACAGAAAACGAAGTTCTTATCTTTTGTAAACAATGTGCGACATATATTCAATTTTAAACGTTCCGACGCAAAAAAGCTTTAACACAGTGAAGCAGTACACAACAGTTTTAAGAAAATACAACTAACTGTAACAATATGAATACCATGAGTACGTCGCTATCCGTTTTTCACATCCCAAAAATGTTATTTCTTTTTCTTATGGTTAATACTATAGTTTTGTTTCATCTAGTATTTGGAAATTAAGTCATTCAAATCATTGAGTTCTTGAACACTTTTTTATTCTTGCAAAGTGAAAAAAATTTAGGAAAGGTTGATCTTGGCGAATTCTCTACAGATTTCGTTTAAGATAAAATAATTTGGCTTGTAATATTACTCGACTAAGTTGATGCATACAATAAATTAAAAGCCAAAGAAATTGTCAGAGTATAAATACGAGCTTGCATAAATAACTATACATCGGACTTATTCTATGCATTTCGTTTTGTTATCTATGTGTTAGAAAAATGACGAAGTGTATTTCATGTTATTCGGTAGCAACTCTTTATCTCTTTTAATCTGTCATATCATTATTACATGCATTCATGTAGAGAAGAAAAGATGATAACATTGAACATGAATTCAAATTAAGAAAAAAACCCATAAGAGACAATCAGTTACTTTAGTATGGCTGGAAAAATAACTATTATTTTCAAACAATTCTCATGTAAATGTACGTTTTCATAAAGTAAATTGACTATGTAATGATACAAATAACAACATTGATCTGAGTCAAAATTTGACTTTTTTTCTATTTGATTTAACATATTACAATTGAACATAAAGATCTATGTCATCAAGTAGCTATTTTATTTATATTTTAAAAGGAAATTACTGCCAATGACAGAAAATTTTCGACCTATACTCTGTACGGTATTTATTCAATTTTTTGGATTCAAAAAAAATGTAACTTATTTTAGTAACTTTCATGACTAAGATATAAAATTAATTATAAAGAAAAGACAATCGTTTATTGTATCAATTACTTATGGAATCAATAAGTTAGAGCTAGATTGAAGGAATTGTTTTGTAACCAATCTTGTCCCAAAAGTCACAGTCGTCTTTCAAATAAGCTGCTCGGATGTCTAGTGGATCTTGAAAGTACAAATAAGATTCATCCGTATTCATCTGTGGCCATACGATTGATTGCGCTACCGGTCGATTTGTATCATTAGTCTTGGCAAAATTAGTCCAATAATTAGTCATACTCGTTGCCACACGTTTGCCAGCATCCGTAAAATTAACCCATGCTGATGCGAATGTATAAGGAAGTTCACCAGCATGACATACATGATTATTACAAAACGTTTCATTCTCCCATCCATCAAAATCAAGTGGAAAACCAAAAACATACGAATAGGAAGCAGCTTTACGTGCATAAATACGCGTTGGACATGCAAATACCCATTGTGTAGCTATTTTAGATATGAGTGGTCGTTGATCATCGAGTTCCGACGGTGGATAACGTTCCAATACTTTAAATGCATGTTCATGGAATGTAAACAATATAATTTCGATGTACAAGGATAGTGTAATCGGTTGCGTCCATCCTTCATAGACATAAAAAATTGCTTCTTCAGTCAATGTACCAATAACAAGTGGTTTCATAGGAAAAGAAACATTCTTTATTAGTTCAAGAAGTTGACCCTTGACAATATTGTTGTCGATGACAGGTACCCATGGCTCAAAAAATAATAAAAATTCGAATGAAGTCAACTTGCTATCCACTTTTGTTTGAGCAGCCGCGATAGCTTGATAAGATGCTTTGCGCAAACAACTTATATCTTCAGCACCACATTGAAGTTCTTCAGCAAGTAGAGTAGTAGGTGTAATATATTGATCGTATGTTCTAGATTTCAAGAGATTAATATTATTCGCTATTTACTTATGCTTGTTATTACCGAAATGGAATTGCCATTGGAGCACTTTGAATGATACTCGACTGAAAAAATGATTGCATCTCAATTGTTAAATGATGTAAAGCAACTGATTGTGCTCCAGCACTTTGACCAAAGAGTGTTATCTTCAAAATAAAGAAGAAATTCATTGATATTGATTATTATTCTATAGCAAAAACCTGATTGGGATCTCCACCGAAAGCATCAATATTTGCTTTTATCCAAGCAATAGCCAATCGTTGATCAAGAATACCATAGTTACCTTGTAGATCGTTTGGTTTAGTTCCAGTAGCAAGAAAACCAAGTGCACCTTATAAATTTTTCGTATACAAAAATATTAATTAATTGTGTTGAATGACATTTACCTAGACGATATTGAATAAGTGCAACTATCACATTTGTAGTATTAACAAGTCGTTCAGATTCATACACTGGTATTGAAGCATCAAGATATTGAAAATTTCCGCCAGGAATAAAAAGCATGACGGGTAAACGAGATCCTGATGATGAATTATTCGGTAGTGGTGTAAATATATTCAAGTAAAGGCAATCTTCAGAAAACTATATCGACACAAAAGAAAACAAAGGATATTTTGAAATAGTAATAAAATAGATCATGTATTTATCTACTAATGTCGGACAAAGAATCGATGGAATACCACCACATGGTGGTTGAGGGCAAGCAGGAGCTCGTGTTGTAGCATTTAATACTTTTGGAGACCATTTAGAGATAGGCACTGGTCGGTTCCATCTTTGAACTCGAAATGAGACAGTCAGAATAAATATCTTAAAACAAGAGCATACCTCAAATCATCTAAAGGTGGCTGTGCATATGGAATTCCGTAAAAGATACGAGCCATATCTGTTTCATAGCCAAGTATATCTCCATAATCAGTAGGAACTGTTATTGTTCGATTTCCTTGTACGTTTTGCAATAAACAACTGAGTGTAATGAATGTAAACACAAGTAAGACATTCATGTTTTAATTTAGCAATAGTAAAAATATATTATATGAAAAACAATTGTGTCGCTTGTAAATATAGATACTGATAAGCAACAGAAAGTGTTATCAAGTTTCTTAGATAATAGTAAATAAACCGTTTTGCCTAGTTTTGAGACATACCCTTTGCAAGTAAATTCCATATCTTACTGTAAATTATGAAGGAATATTTCAATTTTAAAAATTAATAATGTTCATTTTCTGTAGTCTGATATTTTCTCGTTCTAAACAGTAGACTAAGGCATTTTTCTGACATTGTGTGAAACGCAGTCTTAAATGGATGTTAAAACGTAACGGGCAGAACTAAGCAACCGTTGTGCGCCCTCAATCCGGCACAGAACGTGTCAGATGATTTTCAAATACTATCATAAGCTATCATAGATGATACTCAGAATTGATAGCAGACTGTGATTGATCACCTATAGAAATTAGTTTTATTGTGTAGCACACTTTAATCTAGTGAAGGTTTTACTAACAACGTTTTCTTTAATTCTAGGAAGCTTTTCATTATATAGTCCAAAGTTAATTTTTAAAATTAATATCTACTAACAAGCGTATTGCAAAAATGTAGTCCACTACAATAAATTATCATTCTTTGTAATGCTTTTTATTAAATCATTTTGAACCTAAAATATTAATTAGCTGACTAATCAAGGTAAGACATTTCAAGTTCGAGTGAATTCTTTGATAATTTAAGTTTAAGAAGAAAAATACTAAACAATGTTATCAAAAAAAGTAACGATTTTTAACAAATCTTAAACTATTGTTTGCATAAAAGAAATAGGATAGATCAATGTACTCGTAACAAGGATTAAATCTTAAACGCGGTCAAAATCATCTAATATGAATCTTTTATAAAGCTATTGTATAACACCATCATTTTTCATATAATTTTTATTCTTGATTTTAAAGTAACTACTCTACATATGCAATTTTTCAATAAAACGATTACTCTCGAAATTTATTACACAGAATTTTCTTGTCGAAATAATGTTCTGCTGATACTATATACTCATATTTTTATTCAGTTACAGAAATAAAATATTATTAAATGGAAACATTTCAATAGATATTAATGTTAGATTTTGTTACTTGAAATGGTTCACTCGTAAAAATTAGCGTTCAGAAAATTTTAAAGAAAAGACATTTTATTAAACAATATATTGTTAATATTGTGTTGATAGTTACAGTTGGTTATACTAGTCAAATTCAAACTAAATTAACTTTGTATAATAAACAGAATTAAGAAAAAAAAATTTTAATTCTACACTTTGAATAAAGTGATATTTTGCATGAGAAGAAAGTTTAAAAAACCTTCGAAATTATTTTATACAGATATCTAACAAGAAAATATGTAAAATTGATAACTCTGTATGAGTAACTGCAAAAGCAACTATATCTATCACTGCAACAGTGCACTACGCGAAACGCACACAAAAAATAAAGAAAGAAGGAAAGAAAAAAAAATTACGAATCCGAACTCCCAGATTTGAACTGGGGACCTATAGGTTACTATGATTACTCCATTACAGCCTACCGCTCTGCCAGCTGAGCTAAGTTCGGATGTTGAAACAAAGTTAAAAAATACACCACAAGATTATTTTATGTACAAACATATCAATCGATTCAATAATTTAGCATCAATAAATTTTCTCTTCAACTTACTTTTCAAAGTGTTTGGTCTATTGGAAAAAATATCACTTGTTTTAAATTTCAAACAAGGAGTAGAAACAAGATATTTATAGTAAGAAAAATTTAGTCATAATACATAACGCCTACAAAAAAAACTTTATTTGATAAAAAAAAAACAATAGAATATAATCTATCGTATGAATAAGACTTTTTTAAGAGAAAATTAGCAGCACATCGTCTTTTTTCAACGACTATAAAAGAATATTCGAATATAAAGAAAGATTAATTTTTGATGAGAATAGCAATAATTAGGATAATTGAAATAAGAATATTTCGACGAAAAATATATGAAATGTTTCTTCTTATTTCTTGAGCTGTTTTAGCTAGTTTGTGATAAACGAGGCAGGCGCATTGGGCCGAAACTTGAATCAAAATGGCGTCCACGTTTTGCATATCTACGTCTATATCGTTCGATTAGTAAACCCAAGAACTATAAGAAATACGAAAATGTAATATTTTTATTTCCTGGAAAATTAAATTTACTTTATTTCTGTTGGTTAAGATCAAATAAATAATGACGATACATAAAGTAAAAAGAAGAAAGCTAGTCATAAATTGTTTTGACGAATTATTGTCACGATTTAGATTTGTTCGTGGTCCTTAAAAAAGGTAAAAAATATTAAAATAAATAGTTCATTGGAAAACAAAAGTTAAATTAAAATGGATCAACGATTAATTCAACTATTGTTGTCTTCATCACTGAAGTTCAGTAGATTGATATTCTTTAAAAGTGTGATCTTTTCTTACTAGAAACGTAGATTTGGGCAGTAAAGTTTTTTCACACTAAATATTTTTGGTTTTTTACATCGTTTTGATGATGATGGAGTTCATGTAGAGCAATTTAACTTTAAATATAACATTACTCCAAAAATTAGTTTGAAAGAAATGATTCAACAAAATCATCCACTATCAATATTAAAACTACCATTGAGAAAATTAAGACTCAACATTAGATAATAGCATAAATTTACATGAAGAACATGAAAATGATCAAATCAGTTACAAGATTATTGCGAGACTATTAATTTTATTTCTTATTTACTGCAATTTAGCCAAAATGAATATCTTACTGAGTTTAAGCTTTTTCTTTGTTCCTACAGGAACGTTTAATCGATTTTCACGGTATTTCATTAGATGAAAACGATTTGAATTGATATCTGCTTCATTTTCTTGTTTGTTTTCAATATTTGATCCTACAAATGTTTGTTAATATTATAGATAGTTAAAAATTAAAAATTTTGTTTTAGTACCCATATCCCATTTAGTATTACACTAAACTGATACCTTCCAGCCAATTTCCTTCTTTATCATCATTTGATTTAAAAGCAGTTTCAATATCAAGCGCTTTTGGTTCTAGTTAAATCAAATGACGAGTTTTCTTCTGTTTTAATACTTTTAAAAATATGATTTACTTGGTCGTTCATTAATTTTTTCTCGTCCTATAGGAAACGTAAATGTAAGAAAACGTAAATAAAATAAATTTTTTTACCTGATGCTTCTTTATCAAGCCCTAACCGATATATCACTAGAATTATTTATCTGTTATGCATTTTAATAAATTATAAACAATCAATTACCATTCCTTTTCTTTTTCTTTATTTCATTTTTAAATTTTGATTCAGTTTCTTGGCCTTGTTCCAAATCATCTATAATAGAGGTTATGTAGAAAAATCGGTGAAATTGTTATTGAACTATCTTCTTTCAAATAAACACTTTTCAATAAATAATTCAAGTTTATAATATTAATTAGATAGCATATTCTCGTTCGCGTGATTGCTTAACTGATTTTCCAAAACAATATAATATTTAGATTTGACTATTGTTGGTAGAAGATAAAAATACAAAATCGGAAAAGGTGAAATTGAGGAAGTATATTACAAGATAACTTCTAAGTATATCCGAAATTTGTTGCAATAAAAACAAAAGGGCGCATCTCTATTTTTTCAATAATAAATAATTTTTGTTTTATTGAAGATAAATAACTAGCTTCACATCTTATTGGTGAACTTAGTTTTATTCAGCATGTAAATCGTTTCTCGTGTTAAAAGAATTATGAATATTTCTCATTACTACTATCATCACTATTGATATATTTGTTTTCGACAAAAAGTAAGTTCACTGTACTTGTATATTCTTAATACGATCTTATTTTTTCTATGAGGCTATAATTAAAATCAATTCTTTTCAACTTACTTTCGGAGCTATTGGTTTTATTGATATCTTCAAAATAAAATAAATGTTTTTTTTTAGAAAGAATACACATATAAATAATTTACTAGAATCGGATTGTTTTTGTTTCAAGTCCAATACTGCTCCTATTTTATTTCCTATAATCAGAGAGATAAGTTTCATTTCATTTAAAAATCAATCATATTTATTTTTAACCCTCAAGGTTTTCATCCGAATTGTTTTTCACTGATTGAAATTCAGCCTTGATATTTTTGTTTAATAATTGATTTTCGTATTCAATCTTGTTTTGATCTATTTTATATAATCAAAGTCGTGAAGAAAAAAAAACATTCTATTTACCTTTTCCATCAGAGTTTGCGGCATATTCTCTTTTCTTTAAATTGACTCTATCAATCGATGAACCCTCAAGTATTTTATGCGATATAGAATTTCTACTATATGAATCAATTCGTTTAATACTTGGCGCAATTTCATAAAAAAATCTTGCCAAACGAATTGTTTCGTTTGATGACGTTATGTTGGTACATAATTTAGCCAAGGCTGAACCCATTTGTTCTTCTTTATTTAATTTTAGTTTTTTCCATATCCAAAGATTAATATGCATTATTTGATTCATTGAACATAGTTTCGTTGGCGTTTCTGAAGTTATATATTTAATTGGTAATGAACGTGATTGATTTAATAAAGAACAACCAATCTCAAGCTCTATGAATATCATACGACATAGAACTTGATAAACTTTTGTTGATTCAGAGCCTGAACAATATTGTGTCAGATCATGTATTAAAGCTTTATAATTATCTTCAGTATCATCAGCTGAATTTACAAATATATGAAGATCACATGATAGATTTATTGCTTTTAATGCTTCTAACACGTTAATACCAGCTGATTCATCTGCATCCAATCCATACATATTAGAAAATAAAATAAAACTCACTGAAATCACTAATAATTTCATTAGATGACAATTTTTCTTTTAAAAAATCTAAAAATAAGATTCTACTATAGTTTTTTTTAAAGTAGCAATGAAGTTATTTTCATTTTTATTACAAATAAAACAAGAACGAAAAGTAATCATCTTCTCTTTCAATTGATAAAATATGTATCTAATATTGTTGTATAGTATGCATTATCTAGCATACTTTATAAACAGTTATATTCTTACAGATATGATCGGCGATGACATAGAATCAATGACTGATAAAAACCAATTTTAAAATCAATCGATTGAAGTAGTTTTTCTTGATTCTTTCTAATACAAGACAACGTACTTGGCACTAAACAGGTATTTATTTCGTGGCATGCAACAATAATATAACTAGAGAAAATAATTACTAGTTTTACAATAGTAGCAATTAGTGATGTATTTCTAAGTATCAAATTTTACTTATTTGTTACGGATTAAATTTTAATAGTTAAAAATTCTTTCATTTTATGTTAATCATAGCATTAATTGAATACATTTTTCTTTGTAAACGTACCTCTAGTTCATTCAAATTTGATTTTTCAAAAAGATAATTCGAAATTTCGGAGATAGTTTGTCCATTAACCTCTGTTGACCTTGAATTTAAAAAAAATGCTAAATTATAAAAAACTTTGATTTTTATTTTGATGATTTTTGCTTATTATTTTTTAACACTTAATTATGCTTCAAATTACTGATAGAGTATTTCAAATCAATTGACTTCTTGTTTCGACTTTGATTTCTAATAACCCGAATTAGTTGCGCATATTTATTTTCCTCATTCGAAATTAATGAATCATCTGTTCGATTTTATCATAATGCAACAAGTTCACATCTATGATAAGCGATCTATGCACAGTAACACAAATAAATGTTTCGAATAATTATATAAATTCGAATAATATTTCGTTTTTATAAATATTGTCAATAAATTGTGTAGATAACCTATGAATTTTGTTTATCTAATCTTCTATAATGTAAATCAATGTATAGACCAAACGAAAATGTATACATATGTATTGATATATAGATGTCGTTGACAGAACACTGTATCTGTATGTTACTACTATTTTACATGAATACACAAGTTGAAGAGGTGACAGTATAGTAGCTACTTGCATTTGTTTTATTTTGATTCAAATAGCAAGAATCGTAAATTATACGAAAAATAAAAAACAAAGATCAAGACCAAGGTATAATTATTAGATGTGTAGAGGAAGATCAAGAAATATAATATGACCTTTTATTCACAAAGACAGCAATATATTTTTATTCTAAATTGGAATAAAGAAATTTTCTAAGGTCCCAAACAGACTGACTTAATTCAAAGTGAATTAACCAATATATTTGCCGTTGTTACATAGAAACACCAATCACATCTCTTAATTCAGCTTTTATTTTTTCAGTCTGTTTGACCCCTAAGATCTGCATTAGTTAAGTTAAAGGTATAGGCCCCATTCACACCAAAAATGATAAAACAAAATTAACCACTAACGTAAGTCGTCTAAAAACGATGACTTAAGTGTGATTTAATCAATCACGTTGCTTAATCTGTTTTATTTTTTCAGTGTGAATGGGGCCATAGGAGAAAGATGGTGAATATTTCTTCTTATTTACATGAAATACAATAAATCTTGTTTTGAAATTTTCATTTAACATTTTTGCAATGCTGTTACTTGCCAGAAAACGAGAGCGATTCGTAAGTTTTCCCGATTACAGTTCCATTCAAAACAATCAGCAAAATAAAGATTTGCATCTAATTTCAATTATTCAACGAAGAATTTTTATCTTTCCTAACAAAAAGAAAACCGAGTGAACCTATATCGATGAGTGCGACTATTTGTATTTCATCGTAATTTCGCTAAATATTGTTGTTTCTGATGCGACATATCATGTTAATGAACAGTATTCACTCGTTATATTGGGCAACATTATATGGTACTGCATACCATATACAAGGCTCTATTTCACGTAATACTGACATATGCTATCTGTTTATACGTTGCGAGATGACAATAAAGGGCCGTATACAAATCGTATCTTTCGATCGAGAAATGCAACCGTGTTGATATGAATAGAAATTACATGATGAATTATTGAGGTAATGTTCAGATTTTCGAAAAAGGAAATTACGGAAAGTTGGCAATTTCCGACATTATCGATTTTTATGTAATAGCAGACTTTCGAAGATCTCAGGCTCAAGTTTTCCGCAATTTCCTTTTTTGGAAATCTGAACACTACTGAACATGTTCCTAAAAATATATTTCATTGATATTTATTTAGATCAAGAGGAGTCAGAAGAGGAAAATAGTTACGGCTGGTACGAGTCGATCTTTATGCAAAACAATTAATAAAATTTATTAAAGATGAACTGATATTACATTAGTGTGCCAAGCATTCGTTAAATTATACAAAACTGTACTCGTCAATGGGAAATGTCTACCAGATATTCCATCCAGTGTAGTCACAGGTAAAAATATTTTCAGTGTAAACTTTGAAAGAAGCAGGGCAACATTTAAGCAACAACATTATTAATGACATTTAATTACAAAAAGCTGCCAAAATATGTGATCATTTTTCATTTGACTTTCATTGAATACCCATAAAATAGACAGAACCAGCATAAGTGAAAAATTGTATTTTGACACTCGTTTTAATTTGTGACTCTCATGATATGTTAGGATCTAAAATAAAAACTCTGCATAGCGAACTAATGGAAGATCATACTTTGTTTCAAATATTTGATAAAATATCATCAGATGTATACTATTGTTGATTCGACGTTATAGTAATCAGATTCTTAATATTTGAAAGAACAAAAATCAGAGACAAAATCGGTTTATTGTGATTTATTTTCTTTGATTGATGAGTTCAGGCTATCATTATTGGAGTCTCAATTAAGATAGGATTGCGTGTTGGTTCAAATGAAACATTTTCTGAGTTTTTACGATTATTTAGTAGTACTGACACAAAAAGCGTAAGCATATGAAGACGCAATCAGAAAGAACGTGCAAGTGTTCTTTGTTTTTATATTTTAATGGAAAAAACAGAAAGAAAAAAAAGAAAGGTTCTCTTTTCTATACGCTATATGTAAGTTTGTATGCATCACACGTTTCTTTATTATTGTCGATGATGGAAGTTTATTTTTTCAAGTCGCACAGAGAAATTTAAAAAAGCAGGTAAATTCATACATGAAATCGAATAAAAAAATGCAGCTTTTTTGTTTTTGTTTTCATTTAAAATTTGACTGTTTGAACTATTGAGAAAAATTATTTATATATCTTTAATTTGGTAACGCTCTTTTTAAGACTCACCAATGAAAATATATAGTGAATTAAATATTACAAATAAATTTTCGATATCATTCGTACTTTAGCGATTCATCAGGAGTTTATTATTATTCCTTGTAAAAAATTGAGTTTTTAATCAATTATTACTTCATTTTTTATCTAGGAAGAAGCATAACATATATATAGCTATTCGTTATCTATTGCAGATAACTTTTCATTGTAGATGAAAAAATTTATTTTATTTATTCGAGTACAATTGCAATCATAAATACAGCTGCAACGTACATCACATATTAAAAAAATGCTTCATGAGAGTGTATCATATTTCATGGGCTGCAGTGATCCGCACTGTTCAAAACATTCTGGATTACAACAAAAACTTGGATTGCAACTTCAATATTCGGATAAAAAACATGACATAGAATTGCAAGTAAACGTTGATAGTCCACCAAAGATCACCATTTGTGATATTATAAAACAACTTTTAAGTTTTCTTTATCTTGATGATATTTCTCCAGAAGAAGTTCGCTTGGTTGGATTTAAGAATAAAAGTGAGTACTTTAAGTTGAGTGTAACAGATATACAGAAAACACTACGAGAGTTATGCGTGACCAATGGTTGCGTACTTCATTTCGAGCCAACATCTACTGCGCCCGCACCTAAACCATGTCAGTTGACGATATTTGGACCAGATGAGAAAGAAAAAGAAATATTTCAATGGTACAAAGAAAAAACAACATTGGCAATGCTTCTCGAATATGTTATCAAAATATTTTCATTGCAGTCAATTGAACGTCATCAACTTCATCTATTTACTATCTGTGATGAACTTAACTTGTTCTCTTGTTCTACAAGACGATTGATTGAACTAGGTGTCAATGACCGAATGGCGATATATGTTCAGATCGTCTCATCGAGTTCATTGATGATCACCAATGAAAACATAGATGTTCACGTTAAATATGATGATGGACATGAAAAATCAACTATCAACGTACGAAATACCGAAACGATAGGTGAATTAAAGATTAAAATTGAAAAACGGTATGAAAGTTATCGTATTATTGAGTTCAAATGTTTCAATGAAAGAAAAGATTTGCTCGCTTCCGTTGATATGGATAAAAGTTTTAAATCCTTGGGTATTAAACCTGGTCAAAAGGTTTTTGTAAAATTTCGTTTGACTTCTGAGAAAAATCAACTAACTACTGCAAATGCTCAAAACAAAGCGTCTAATCAATTAGACTCCCCGTCAAGTACAAAAGCGAATTCTGACAAAGTTATTGTCAAATGGACGTTTCCAATGAAAAATTCCGAAAAGACAGAAGTATCACTTCAATATACAGTTGATCAACTAATTAAAAAACTAGAGGCCTTTGAACAGAACAATCGATTAGTTTTACATAAATTATCTTCAGATGCGGTAGAATTCGTCGTTACAAAAAGCAAGGAAACACATCGATCTTTAGCTGACTTAGGATTCAAACCAAATGATACGATTGATGCCACTATAAAAGATAGGCCCCCTAGATACTCGTCTATTGTCAGTAAAGAATTTCCTCCGTCACTCAAAGCAAATAAAATCCCGAAAGTTGATTGTGTCCCCAAAAGTCCAATAGGTTTGGACAATCTTGGAAATACGTGCTACATGAACAGTGCAATTCAATGTCTTGCTCATGTGCCACCATTAACTAATTTCTTTTTGGAAGGTTTTCATTATACTCACATGAACGATGGTGAACATACAGATAAGGATTGGAATCCATTTGATAAGATAGGCAGTGTCACTGGAGCATATGCTGATCTGCTTTGGAATTTATGGAAATACGATGATAATGATCATCACTATGTTTCGTTTAAACCAATTCGTATTAAAGATGCAATTGGTAATAAAGAATTACTATTTTCCACAAATGATCAACAGGATGCTCAAGAATTCATGACTTACTTTCTCGATGCTATACACAAGGAATTAAAAGAAAAAAATGACAACGATAAATATACCATAATAAAACAATTATTTTTCGGAGAAATAAAATCTATTATCAGATGTACTACATGCAATAATGATGAATCTACAATAAGTCCTGTTAGTTTTTTGTCCATACCACTCAGTCGACAAGAACGAAAATTTTGGATTACTTATATTTCAAAATTAGGAAAATATGAAACTGCCTGCGTCGATGTGCCTATTAGTGGACAGGTTGGACATGTTGTAGAAGAATTTGTTAAATATTATAAACAACCTGCACTCTTCCACCACATACTTGCGATGGTACCAGATGGCGAACTCGATTTTGGAACACCACTTAATCAATTATCTCATGATGAAATTATATTAATGGAGCAAGAAGAATGTTCGAACAATAAACGACCTGCGAATTTGGAAATACCCGCGGAAAAGTTAACTCTTCAAGATTGTCTAAAAGATTTTTTCTCACCAGAACATTTAGAAGATGAATGGACTTGTCGACGAGCAACATGTAAACAAAAGACGACAGCAACTAAACAACTTGAACTTTACAAGCTTCCACCTATAATCGTTATTCAGTTCAAACGATTTTCGCATGAAAATGGTTTACACCAAAAAATTGAAACGTTTGTAAAATATCCAATAAAAGAACTAAATTTAAATGCATTTTCAACAGCTGATCAACAAGAAGCTATTTATGATTTAATTGCAACTAGTAATCATATTGGATCGATATATGGAGGTCATTATATAGCATATGCTATGCATCGCATGTCGAATAAAAGTAAATGGTACAGATTCGATGATTCGTGTGTAACACGTGTAAAAAGTGAAGATTTGGAACAGGATATTGTATCGCAAGATGCTTATCTTTTGTTTTATATTAAAAGAGATATTTTAAATCCATTAGTAACAGTATAATATATATATAACATTAAACAATGATCATTCTATCCTTCATAAGCAAGGCTCCTATTGAACAATATTTGTAGAACGATTGTAGAACACAATATGTTATTTTGTGTATTGTTTTCTTCTTCTTCGATTACGCAAAGAAAATCATTTAATATCTTTTACTTCTTCTTAACATCTATCAATCAGAAATATTATTTCATAGTTTCTTTCCTCAGTTTTCTAACTTCATATTTTATGTACAAATCTGAAAATATTAACGGCTTGAATTATATATTGTAAAATATACTTACTCGTCAATCTAGAGAATATCACATGTAGACATAGAGTCAATTGATATATTTGACGTTTTCGAACTCTGCTACGAAGATGTTCAGTCAGTTCGATAAACAAAAGTAATAGATTTGCAAAAAATATGAATCATGATAGATAAGAAGAATGATTAAACATGCCATTTTTATAAAATATTCATTTTTTTGATTTTTTTCAAATTTCTTCACAAAATAAATTAACAGTCTTGCCAATTAATGGGAACATTTTTAATAGATACTTACTGCTTATTAAGTAAGAAAGCGATTACACACTGCGAGTGTCTAATTTTTCATATAAATACAATAATTGGAAAAAGCGTATTATTGATTTTGTTCTTTTCATACAGATAAAAATATTAGTGAAACAGTTGCAATGACTCGTCAGGTATTTCATTTGTTTCATTCATTATTTACTATTTTTCATTGATACTATGTTATGTCAGGATACTGTGCTACTATGCAACAGAAACCTATACAGCAATTATGAGAGAAAAGTCAATATCGATTGAAAAGAGGTTTTCTCTAGCTACAAAAGTTTCAAAAGGTCTTGTTTGCTATATATATATATCTTCATATTATCTACAACAAACAAATGTATTCATCAGAAAAAAAAACTATTACGATCTTAGTAGGTGAGAGTGTCATACAGTATTCTAATTTTCATTTAGATTATTGTAGTATGAGTCATGTTGTCATTTTGAATAATAGTGATGAAATTCACTATTGCAAATGTTAATAGATAACGAAGAGACCATTGGTTTTTTATTGAAGCCATCTTTTTTACTTGTAACACTTCGTTTAAAACAATACATGAAAGTATAAAAGATATTAGCTATAAACAAAATAGTCGTCTATTTAAGTAAGAATAACTTCGTTCGTTCATATCTCTTGGCCATTGTCTCAGTATGCCTACATATATTTTATTGAATTGCCATTCATTGTTCGACTGTTGTAACATAATGAGTGTACAATATCAAGTCTAACAAATTGAAAGTATTTATCGTAAGTTCACTAGTAGTTAGTCTATTCACAATGATTATCTGCAACTCAAGAGAATATGAATTTAGTCATTTGAAAAATACCGATACTTTCCTATTTTCCTTCTTTGTACTCATCCTAATAAACAACTCAACGAAATGAATTTACATGTAACCAGGTAAAAAAACACCATTAATCAAGCGAACTAATATTTACTCTGCTCTTCAGTATCTACACGATTGACAAATATTGACGTTTTTCATCTTATCACAAGACAAATTGATAATTAAGTCTCGTAACTATGATGAAGTTTGTATGAGTAAATTAATAAAAAATGTTCTGTGTAAAATATGATATATTTGAGAGCAGTAAGTGATAAAAGTCAGTATTCAACAAACATTTGACTATCATATGCATAGATAAATCAACAAGAAAAAATAAGATACTAACAAGAATTCAAAAATAAAAAAAATAAATTACCAAAAACTTCAAAAGCTATCAAAAAACCTACAAGAAAAAGAAATATTTTAACTATTTTAATAATTAGAAAACTTTTCTTAGTCGCTTCAAAATGTTCGAACTCTTATTTATTGTACACTAGTAACAATCTTGATCAACTTTTAACATGATTGTGTCTATATAGTTATTAAATTTTACTGCAAACTGCTGATGATGTGCCGAAAGCAGTGAAGGCGCTCATGTTAATACGTAGTTGCTTAAGGTACCAAAGCATGCTGAACAAGTGTTGAAGATGATGAGTAGGTGCTGGGTGGCGGGTGGCGGGGATTTCAAATATGCACTTTCTCTCACGGAAAAAAGTTTAATAGATAACAGTCTGCCTCAATTATGCTGTACGCAATGTCAGAGTTTCAAACAGAAACGTTATACACACAATCATCATTTTCATTTTTGTACGTCTCAAAATCTAAACACTATCACATATTATCCTTTCAAAATGGCTCCAGCACAATTTATCTGTAGATATGTCTGCTGCGAAAGTCATACCTGTGAATTAGACTCGTGAAGTCCACAGGTTTGAAATATTATATTTTGATAAGTGCATAACAAGAAAACATTCATTGAATACAGTATAAATATTTCTAGTTCAGTTAGTCTTTCGTCTATATAAAAAATACAGTGCATGGCATTGTCTGCTAATAACAAATATCATTATGGACTTGCTTTTTATTTTAAATACGATATTTTGATGAAAAGTATAGGCCAATTACAGTTTTCTCAACTTTAGCTTGTCTATAATCGTATGAGATCATAGTGCTGCTCTTGAAATAATGATTAGCAGATTAAAGTTAGAAAACTCTCATCATTGAATTAATACTTTTCTTCGACCCAAATTTTTTTATTTCTGTCAGTAAACTACTTTTCTTGTAGATAAATATTTATCAGCTATACTAATTTATATATACAGTTGTCTATAAAACATACGATAGCTTCGATACTCATACTTTCATCATCATACTCGATATGAATTGTTTTCTAGATTATGAAAAATGATTAGAATTATGTCGAGTATATAACCAAACTAAAACAACCATGTTTTTCGTCGAGAATAATCAAGGCATTGATAAACTGTGTACCAATCTTAGTAGAGGTTCGAAGTTCATACCAAAAATACGCTGAAACTATTTTCAGCGTAACGCCACGGATATTGTCAAGTTTTAAAAATACCATCTTTAAAACATATCTGAACAAATGAATCAACCCAACACTCAAATATAAATTTAAGTCAGTTTCGTAACTAATGATCATTTGTACAGAACTGTGTTAAAGTAGTTAAAAATTCTTTTTGATACATTCTCAACAAGACACTGCTTTGAGGTGGGAAAGATATCTTCAATAATTTACGTAGTTTGGAAATATTATTTAGACTCGATGATCCAAGCAAAATGTTAAATTTTTGGCAAATTCATACAACATAGTTTTAGTTTATATAAATATTTTAAATACTCTAAACATTAGTAGAACTGTCTATCATTGAATCAGCATGTTATGCAAAGGTATCCTCTTTCATTCACATGTTCTTTTTTCTTTTCTTTCTTTCCTTCATTTTCTGTGTCGTACGAGTAGATGCTTGTGATTAGCTATTATTTTGACGTTGCTCTCTTCAAGAAAAAAAAATGAGAAAAACAAATACGCTGAAGTTGGCGACTTCTACCAGTCGTATAATGTGCAATAAAAATTACAGTATAGAAGAACAAAAAATAATTTACGCACGCTGTTACCATTCTTTTAAGGTGCTGGTGTAGCCAGAATTTCATAAAGTATCTAGGATACAAGGACACAACGTGTAAGATCTGGAAGAACGCAAAACATATTCAATAGGAACCAAACTTTGTACGTGTCTATAACAGAACGAACATGTTATGATCAATTTACTGCTATATACCTATGGAGGTTAATAGATTTCGATAGTTGTGTCTTAAACATAACAGCAATTAATGAAGTCTTATTATTGGAGTAGATTTTTCCATCAAATAAACACAATTTTATGATGAACGTCACTATTGGTATTTATCCATATTTCTCATATATTCCTTCAGTTTATGGCGCTGTATTCTTTTCTGTACTGGTTTATCTTTCGCTGGTTTTTTGGTTTATTCAATCGTTATTATTTCATTGTCGGCCATGCGTAGTAGGTGTAATAGCTATTTTAATATTTTTTTCTCATCTCCTCACTTTCATTGAACTCATCCTACGTTCAACACTGACAATTGAGGAGAGAAACACAAAACCATTGTATAAAGTTACGGCATCACTCATAAGTACAAGTTCTCAACTTTTGCTGGCGTCTAATTTTCAATGTTTAGTAGAAATGCGCGGCAAAATGAAAAGTCGTCCAATCGATATAGTTGCAGCTATTATTGTACCTATAGGTTTGATTGGAGCTGGTGTCTTATTCGGCATTGCAAAAAAATTTTCATTTATTTTTGAACGTCTTCAACTTAGTTTTCACTTACGTCAAATCTCAGTTGGCATTATTATATTATATGTTTTACTCTTCTTTGTTTTTTGGCATTTCAATGTAATTAATGTTCGTCGTCGCTTCATTAAGCCACTATTAATCATTACGAATGTTTGCCTTTTAATTGATGCCATTTATGTATTCGCTACTTCTATACCATCTCTTTTCACTTCACTCAATGAAAACGAATTTTGGTTCTATGTAGGCCATTTATTACCGTCTTTTATTGCTCTTTTTACATGGACACTCTTGTATTGGCGAAAATCGCCAACGGCTGCTGACAAGATTAATGAAAATAGTGAGAATGGCAAGGAAATTCTATTATCAACTTGTACATCATGATTAGTAGCTAATCTTTTTTGATGCTTTGACATATATCATTATGGAGACTTGTACTTGTGTAATCTTACCAAGTTTTTGGAATGTAACATATTTCCATGCGTCAATTCCAAACGCATAGTTCTCAAAGTGAATCTCATTCTATTAGAGTAGTTATTTTTGTAATATTAACTGCGAAAAACTTTGCTTTCTCTTTCATATCTACGCATTTATATGAAAAAAAAGAAAATTAGAAGAAAATGCCTAAATAAAATAAATATCAGAACAAAATTAATTTAAATTATTCGCCATTTTGATAACTAGATTCTGTCACATATGAAAAAATGTAGTTTGTAAATAAATTACATCAAGTTCGGTAGCATATAATTAAAAGATGATTTTCTCACTTGGCAATATCAGCCTAGTTTACAAAGAAACTATAATATATTTCTTCTTCACGTTACTATTAAATCATTCTGAACTATAACAAAATACCTCAACAACGTACAGTACGATAAATCTATGAGTTGATTCTAACGAAAGATAATAATCCAAATATAACAAAAAGAAAAGTTTCTACTACTTTCTCTTGCAAAATTGGCCATTGGCCAATGTCATTCCATGTTTTCATTATTCTTATAATAGTTATCAATGAAAAAAACGAAATATTATACAACCAAGTGAATAGTAATAATCTCTTTAGGCAAATATGAATTGTTTAAAAGCCTTGTTTTTCATAGCGCACGAGCAAATAGATATTAAATATATTGTAATTATTTCTTGTGAATTTATTGAAATAGTAAAGACAATAACATTAAAGTACGCAGTTACACAACAATAGCATCAGCTTCAATCTCGATTCGCATGTCAGGATGAACAAAAGCATTGACTTGAACAAGTGTTGCAGGTACTCGAATACCATAAGAATGAAAAGTTTCTTTGAATGCCCGGCAAACATCAGCTTGATCAGCAATATTAATACTACAGAAAGAAAAAACAAGTTTAATTTATTGAAGTGCATATGCCGAATACGAACACAAACATTCGCACACGAACAATATCTGTGATTTGAGCTCCCATTCTTAATAATGCATTAGTAATGCGTTCAAAGATGATAACTGTTTGATGATATGTACTTTCAGGCTAAAAAATATCATATCCATATTTTTATGAATCACTGTAATTAAGTTTACATGAAGAACCCCTCCTGTGACAGTGATATCACTAGCTGTCGTACCAGCTACAATGACAAACGGTCCACGTCGAACAGCTCGTGTGTGGCCACATATTTCTTCCCATGGATTATTAGTACGTAATTCAAGACGACCTGGTAAGGTTTCAACAACAATGCCAGCACTTGATCGGTTAGGTTCTGTTTCAGCAACATGAAAAGACAACGTCTAAGGTAGAATAGTATTATTTAGAGAATTTAACAATAATTAATTTAACAGATTTTTATTCAATCATTCTTACCGTGACCGGCTCAGGTTGTTTCTGTTCTTCTGTCATTCTATTATTCACAATATGTACTATTAGACGATTCTATATCAAGTTTATTTACCTGTTATTCGTTATCTGTCTCCTATTCTTTTGTTAAATGGACTTATATTTTGTGTAGTTTGCGATAACAAATTGAAATAAATAGAATAGCTTCTAAATATTGATAGGCCGCTTTAAAAACAAGCCAGTTAGGATTATAACCTTTAAGAAATGATTGTTTATCAATCTATGTTAAATGATCGCCTGAGAAATTGCCTCAGCTGTTTTTTTCTGATTTATAGTTCCTTTTCGTTTTGGCATCTATCCGTTATAGACATTGTACGAAAACAAAAAGTGACTGAGACATAATGTCGTTTCCCATACTCATTCTTTTCATTTATTAACTGTGATAAAGTGCAACGTTGTCTATGAGAGAATCGCTAATTGATCAACTTATGATAGGTTTTTTTAAATGTGTGTCCCCATCAAAGGAAATAAACCATAAAAAATTCATTGAACTACTGATATTAACTGGTACTCTAGCTGTTGTGTGGCTAGTAAACGTTGAAGATCCATGTCATGACTTTATTACATGATTACTTATAGAAATCAGATCACATGAATATATTCCACTACTATCTTAAATGAGTATGCTAATCATTTCAATCGAAGTCTATGATTTTTCTTCATCAATGAAACATAAACATTACGCTTTTATCATTCACCAAAATCAACTAGCTCAAGCAAAAACAAACTCTCAAATGTTGCACCTCACTACTGAATAAAGATCTAGGCATATACATTGCGAACAAAAAAGTCTGCTTTTTGCCAAGTAAATATCTTTACTATGCTACACATTTGGAGTTTAGTTAATTTCGGAAACTATTTTTATCTATGCCAGGTGTCATTGACGTTGGTCATATCATTCCCTTATTCTAGCATCTTGTTTTGTATGGGCTACTCATTTATACTCCAATGCACTTCAGCTTCATTCGAATGTAATTATATATATATATACACATATAAATGGAACTATTAATCTATGATATTGTATCAATAGTAATTAGGGCGAACAATTTTTGATTATTGCAAGTATTTTTTTGTGATGAAAATTCAATATTTATGCTGCTCTTTTTTTCATAGTAATTATATACAATTGATATTGAGAACATAAAAATTTACATCGTTGCTAAATAATGAAGCAAATATAAAAGAATCTATATATAACTAGAAGTTTAATTATGATATTTCTTTTATTATAGGGACACGTCTAAAGCAAAAACACTATGAACAATTCATTTGTCTTAGCTAAATGGGAAAATATAACTATCCCAAAGAAATATTTTTTAAATACATGATCATAGTGATAATAATAGCGCTAAGAATGGAGATTATACCGTATCAATTAGTATTATAAAAATTGTAAAGTTCAATTGATGATAATGGTGCCCATTCAACAGATATGTACATATAATAGACAAAGAATATATTATACGCATTAGAATAAAAATTCATTTGGTAAAAGCAATAATTTAACGGGCAATTATCTAATTTCTCTATAAGACAATGAAAATGTTAAAATACTTTTCGTGGTAGTTTGTAAAAGTAATCATTCATTTTTCTAACAATTTCCAATATTAATCAATACGAAGAAAGCAAAGTTGACTGTTTATATCAGTCTGTATGAGTATTATAACAATGAACAGTTAAAAAAAATGCATAGGAGTCTTAAGTTTCTCAATTCATTAACGTTCTTAAATATTAGTTAAGTGAGCATATATGTATGGGATTGTTTTGTATCAATGATAATAGTAAATTTAGAAACAAGTGTGATGATAAACTTAAAAATATCATATTCGTCTAAGAACGTAACTATCTTTATTTTTTTTTGAAATTCTCTAATCTATCACATTAAAGAATCAAAGATATAACCTTGATGAAGTTTACTTATTATTGCATTAATGAAGAGTAAATATCATATCATTAAACAGTTTTCAATATTTTAGCAGCTAACACAAACTAAGCTATGCAAACCAATTTACGTTCCATTGAAAGATCATGTGTGTATAGTAAAGTCGTGTGTCAAATCTATTGCTTTTATGCGTTGTCCAATTCTTTCAGCTGGCCGAAAACATTTTTAATATTACTTCAGTGATGACGAAAGATTTGGCGACTTCAATATTATACTCAATCTTTTAAAAGAATCGCTCTCAAATGTATATTAAAGAATTCGGTTAATCCTATCATATCAACCTTTTACTTCGCTGAATTTACTTAATGTACAGTTACAGTGGTAGTTGAGCAGTATGGGAACATTTAATTTGCTTTTGATTTCTACAAGGTCTTTTTTTAGACATTTACCAGTCTCATCATATATTTGCTCCTTCACAGAGAATTACTAAAATATAGTTGAAGTATTTAGAAATCATTAACGAATTGTATGTCATAAGCTCAGGAATTTGAGCATCGGAAACTCATTGCTACCAACGCTTATATGCACTAGTTTAGAATATTCTTCGTTATCAGATAAATAAGTTGGTCAGAATATGTTTTGAACTTGGTTACATTTGATAAAATATTGCGTATGGGTATGATCAAAATTTATAACTGATGCAAATGTGTTCATTTGCGTTTTGAATGTTTTAGCATGATTGCGTAGTCAAGCATTGTCTAGAATTTTTTCTAATATTTTCATTAAAAGTAGAATAATACATAGATTTCTTTCAAAACAAAATGAAACTAGTTAAGTATAGTTATTAGTGATTTTTACTGCTTAAAAAATATGATTTGTATCGAAGAAAAAAAACAGTTCTTTTCGTTCTAGTAAGTGTCAGATATTTGTAACATAGATTTTATGAAAAGAACGATTATTTTATAAAAAAAAAAAAAACAGGGACAAAATCGAAATGAATTGTACATAAGTTTGAAAAAGAAATATTCAAAGAAAAAAGAAAAAGAAAGAACAGATTTTACTAAGAATAATAAATAAAAAAGCCGAGAATATTTCACCTAGGACAAGTTTATTATATTTTTAGTAGGGATTTTGTTCTGTTACTGCTGATTTTATTTCCAATGAATCTATCGAATCAAATGAATTTGAATTATTTTTTCTAGGGTATTTATTCTTTTCTTAGAGTCCAGCTTCTAACTTTTAGAAAAATACGATATCAATCAAGTTAGCTTTCAATTAAAAGCGATTGTATATCTGACAAAAAAAGAATCTGAATTTGATTTGACGGCAATTCTTATTAGAATTTGAATTGAAGAGCACGTATCTATGTTTAATGTTAGATATTTAGTACTTGCATGAAATAAAGAATCGAACAAGATATGGATTACTTTAGTTTAACAATCGATATTTTCGTTTTTTTTAAATAAGGCTTATCAATCGAAATTTAAACTAGTCAAATAAATTTTTTGTTAGACTTATTTCTGAAAATTTAGTCGGATGTATTTTCATTATATGGTCGGAATGTTTAAATCAAACGTATTTCAAAGATATGATTTGATTTCAAATATGAGGCTGATGCTTTTGATAATCCCAAATATTCTTATATGAAACACAAAGAATAAATATACATCTAAATAAGTTCGTTGCTAAACGTGAAAAATACTTCTATATGATTGACTTTTTACTAAAATAAGACGTCTATCCACAAATCTTGAAAATCAAAGAAATAATCTCCTAAAACGGATGGTTATTTTTGAATCGTTTTTCAGTAGATTATTACGATTAATTAAAAGTGAAATAAAGCATTAAGGAGAAAATCTAAAGTCAATATTCTCACAGAGGATAAGGTCAAATATTATCTTTTTTTCTGTTATCAATATAGCTGTATGTGTTCTGAATCGGTTGCTTAGGTATTATTTATCGCTCTGTATACGTTTTCGCATAACGATGTTTGTTTCATAATATATTTTCTTTGAATCAAAAATCGAGACGATAACTTTAGACGCTGCATAAAATATTCTATAATTTTGTTTTTGCTGTGGTTGAAATAAAATACATTTTTATTTTTTATAGAAAGAAAAAAACGAGGTCTGCGCAACGATGAAAAATCCATACTTGACTATGTTTTATTTCTACCCAAGGAGTAATATATGACTTGTATAAACGAGAAAATAATTGATTCAATTCATCAGATAGAAAATCTTCTATTCTGTGGTGATATACTTAATGAAACTTCGTCTCAACCGTTAATCAATCTTCGCAATCAATTAAAACAGATCGATGACGAATATGACCTTAACAAAAAGGATGAAATCGAGAGCCTTATTCCTATTCTTGACTATTTTGAAATAAACTCTTTTTGTCATTTTATCAAATTATATTCTTCTGTAATTCCGTCTACTCTCGTAACAGTTATATTCGATATAGTTCGTCTTAAAATATATAATAATCTAATAGTCTATCCGGCGTTAACCGATTATTATTTTAATTTATCACTTACATATTTAATTGCTGACTCAACAATTGATTATCTTATTGATACGAAGAATATTCTATCAAATTTAGACGAAGAATTTCTTCATTTATTCTCTTCTATTTGTTCGCGATCGATTTATGTTAAGACAAAGATTTCCTATTCAATTTATGCTTCACATAAAAATATTCCAACATTTTTTCAATTGAATAATTCAACCGAACGACTATTAAAAGCGTTGATAACATATTTAAACAATTATTTTTTCAATAATCATCAAAAATATCAAAGTTATATATCGATTTTCAAATGGCTTATTAATATGGCAAATGTCTACGGATTTGTTCCTTATTTAGTTAATACTGGTTATCCATATGCTATTTCACAATGGATGTCAATTGAAAAAATTGAATTTAAAGATATTTCTCTTGAATTATGGTCGTTAGTTGTAACATTATTACATAATCTAGTTCGACATTGGATGGGCGTGGAAGCTCTTAATAAATTAAAAATGATCGATACTCTCAAGGAGTGGAGAGAAAATTATATATCTGTAATATCAATTACTGATTATGACGAAAATGATCAAGATATTCTGATGGCTTATTATCTTGTTTATTCAGCCTTGTTGGAACCAAAGGAATTAAAAAAAGAAAGTATTTCCAGTATTCGAAAAGTTCTTGATTATATTCTTGAACAAACAGTAAAAGCATTTGATTCTATTGATCTTACTTCTGGTGCATATAATGTTTGTGAATATTTAGATGGACTTGCTAAATTTGTTGTTAATGATACTTTTCTTATTTATACTATTTCATATGAACACATTTATGAATTATTTACTGAAAAATTTCTCTTATTTGATACTATATATGAGTTAACAGCACTTAATACAATTATTTGTGCATCCCTGTATACAATATTTTGGTCAATTAGTTTTCTACCTGAATACAGTGTGAAATTAAAATTCAATGCTAAATTTGTGTCTTCAATTGAACAAAGAGCAAAAACTCAATCAATGGATGAACATGCTGTAGTCATGCGACGAGCAGCTAAAGGAATTCTTTTTAATCTTGGTAGTACACACACAGATATGCAATCGATCGAAGATAATCATAATGATGAAGATAATAGTAAGGTAAAAGTCATGATTTCTTATGCACATAAAGATACTACATTTTGTAAAAAACTTGTTACAAAAATGCAAGAACGTTTTCAAGGTGATATTTGGGTTGATTTTAATAAACTATCTCCACAGTATGAAGATGATTGGGAAGAAATTGCTAAAGCAATAACTCGATGTGATGTTATTCTAATGATTGTTACTGAAAATTATTGTAGTTCAAAAAGTTGTCGAAGAGAAGTTATTCATGCTGACAAAAGAAACAAACGTATGATACCTATTTATCAAGGAAAAGATTACAAAGCAGATGATTGGTTTGAAATTCGTGTTGGTTCTGCAACATGGGTTCGTTTTGGAGATAAGAAAAATGATGAAGAAGTGATGGAAATTCTTCTAGGATTGATTAATGTACTAGATAAAAGTAAAAAGAATGATGAAAAATTTACATCATCGAATAAATCACATTTGAATATTAAATCAGAAACCAATACAATTAACATGATAAATACACAAACTGTAGAAACGATATCGTCTGCATCTTCTAGACCAATTATAGAAATTCCCGATATACAATCACAGTCAGAAACAACTGTATCGAACGCTACTCCTACTTCTTCAATTGAACAATGGACTTGTGAAGAAATACAACAATGGCTTCATTTACCACCATCTACTCTTCAATTATCATCTGGTCGAGCTTTAATCGCATATATGAACTTATTATCATATGACGATGCACAATACGACGAATATGAACATCGAATGCGTCATAATGGTATAAGTCGAGAACAATTTTCTAATTTAATATCATCATTTGCATCTGTTCGTTCGTTAAACAATATCTCAACTATTACGCCAAATAAATTCTTTGATGAGTGGACACGTGAAGAAATAAAATATTGGTTTCAACAAAATAACTTATCGGATTCTTTATTAAATACATTGGATTTTGTTGATGGATCACAACTGATTACGTATGGAAAATTAATTATCGATTCACCAGTACGTATTGATCAAGAATATGGTCGATTAAGAAATCATATTGGCAATGATCGTTTTCATCTCAATGAATATGCTCGGCTGTTGAGTGGTCTGAAGAAAATTGTCAATCAATCAAAATCAAAAGAGGAACCAGTCTCCTGTAATATTCTCTAATGCTTTTTTTAAGGAGATTAAGTCTCTAATTTTATTCAATGATTACTGTGAAGGCTCTGTATCATTTAGTGAATAGATTGTCTTTCCATTATTTAACTATTCATCTAGTTTATATTAAAAGATATTCTTTTTCATCACATCGTCTCTAATTGATTGATAGCAATTAGCTTTGAGTGTGCTTATCAGAGTGCTCTCCATTTTGCAATGCATAATATGCAGACTAATATGTTTTTTATTCGTTATTTTTAAGAAAAATCATATTTTATAAAGACTAAAGTTATAGGAATTAATGTCTACTAGAAAGATTTCACTGTCTGAGTCGACACATTTTCAAACGTAAATTTCAACCAGCTAAAACAATTTTTTAAGCATAAACAGTTCTTTGTCAATCGTTTAAATCACATGTTATAGTTAAGAGTTTCTTTTCGGCATGTATTTGTTTGAGCAATTTTATAATATAAAATGTGCAATAGATAACTCCTTAAATAACAGTAACTATTTTATTGCTCAACGAAGTAGAAGTCTTTCTGGTCCACTAAAAAGCTGAGTGGATCCTAATTTACGGGTAAAATGAAATAATAGAAAAACAACAGAGAATTACATTATCGATAAATTTCTTTGAGACACTATCTACTAATATCTGAATTAAAAATAGTAGCATCTCATCACATTTGATTTTAAAGAAGGTCAAACAATAGTTGCAAATGTTGCATATCTTTACTGGAGTCTTATCTTATTATTTATAGTAACAAATAGACACAAATGCGGTCTTTCTTTTCTTCTTTCTTCTTTCTTCTTTCTGTTTTCTTTCTTTTTTATCAAACTTGATAACCATTGAATAACCACTGTAAACATTCTTTCCTTTACATATTATGAAATAATCTAAGTATGTTATACATTTGAAAGTATCATATTCGCTTTTGATCTAATCTAAGTTGTTGCAAAAGTCGCACACGAAATAAAATCTTTTTGAAAAATAACATACAGACAGTCATGACAAACGAAGAGAGTATCTTTCCTACACAAATAATAGTAGGTGTAGTTGGTATAGGACTCATGGGCTCTAGTATTACTACTTGTCTCTTAATAGCTGGCCATCAAGTTATAGCAGTAGCTCCAATTCCAATCGATCTTGAAACTGCTGAAACTCGTATTCATGAACATCTCGCTCGATCATTTGAACAAGAAATATGTTTAGAAAAACCAGTTTATTACTTAAAAAATTTGACTATTACCGAAGATTATAATTGTCTTAAAGTTACTTCCTTAGTTATTGAATGTACTCTTGAAGATATTACAATCAAAAAGCAAGTTTATAAAAATATTGAAAATGTCGTATCGAATGAAACTATCATTACAAGTAATACATCAGCCATTCCCATTAGTCTTCTGCAAGAAGAGGCTTGTGTACCGAGTCGATTTTTTGGATTACACTGGGCTGAGCCATCTCATACAACACGATTTTTAGAAATTATTTGCGGTAACAAAAGTGATCAGCAAAAGGCCGAATGGTTATATCAACTTTCACATCATTGGGCTAAAGAACCAACACTCGTAAGAAAAGATATTCGTGGCTTTATCACCAATCGTCTTATGTATGCTTTATATCGAGAAGCGTTTTATCTAGTCGAAAATGGATACGCTACTGTTGATGATGTTGATCGAGCATGTCGCAATAATGCTGGTTATTGGATGACTTTAGTTGGTTGCTTTCGATGGATGGATCTTACAGGCATTCCAGCTTATCATGCTGTTATGCGAGATTTATTGCCTACGCTGTGTAATGAAACTGAAATACCGAAACTTATTGATGATATTGTTAAAACAGGTGGAAAAGGTATTCTAAATGGTAATGGTTTCTATAATTATACACCAGAAGAGGCTCGTTTATGGCGTGAAACTTTTGAAGAGTTTAGTTATGATATTCGACGATTAGCATTGAAATATCCTGTTGATGTTGTCACTAGAAAATTGAATGTCCTAGAGAAAAAAAATGAAACTCAAGATTAACATAATCGTATTTCTTGACTATATAAAAAGATATTTTCTTTTCGCTTATAAATCAAAGTAATTCAAATTAAGTTACGTCCTTCAATTGTAATATTCTAGATTTTCTTTTGTATTAAATAAATAATGAAAACGTTACACACAATTATATTTATACACTTATTCATCTCATTTCCATATTCACCTAAAGGTAACTTTATGTTAAATATGTATTATTAATCTATTGGCTCACTTAAATTTCAAGACTATTGATATAATAAAGTTAATTTTTCAATAGGCCTAATTCTATCTAAATAAAACATTCAAGTAGTTGCTTGCAGTGCGCATATTTTTAGCTTGAAGTATCGGTTAATTATTATATCATTTCATTGACTTGTTCTCAAACAAAATTATCTTAAGTACACACATTTATTTGTCATGTATCGATAGGAATCTATATTAGCACACAAATATACATTAAAAAGAAAGAAGCGACAACAAAAAAAAAGAACAAAAACGATACACTCATCTACAATGACACGCTTCGACAATCATATTAGGTAAACGACGAATAAGATAATTATAGTCTGAACTTTTATAGAATACGGTTAAAGGTGCATAACGTTCAGGTACACAACCAGCTTTTGGTAGATTTAAATCATTTCTAACGCCTAAACGTTGAAGAAAATATTCAAGAAATGCATGATTTGTCATCAACTAAACACACGAGAAGAGAAAAGAAAAGAAAAATACTAAAATTATTTTTTCATCAAATATATTGATACTAACTTTAGTTTGACATGAACCCGAACATAGATTAGCCATAAAATTTTTTGGTTCAATCATCCATGAAGCAAATCCTAAATCAGAAAAATCAATGACAAAAGGTTTTACTGAACATGTTTCCGATTCTAATGTTGATATTGAATCATTCCAATTAGAAAGAAATGCATTTGAATCAAGTGTGAATTGTTTTTCTTCAATAAAACGTCGTAATCTAAATGACAATAAATATATAAAGTAGATTTCAATATATTTTTTTTTCTTTACAAAATGACTAAATAAATACAAACCTGTTTCTCTTATTAACTTCTTTTTCAAATTGTTCATACGATTGAATATCTTCTTCGAAACTTTTCGGTATAAATTCTTCGAAAACATTTGTTGGCTTTGAATCATTCGAATACATAATTAAAAATGGTGTATAAACACTAAATTTTTCTAGTTCAATTATATTTCTTCTTTGATTTTTTGTTGTTACTGTTGGTTTAAATGTTATACCGAAGTACTCAGATTTTTTTGGTATTGTCAAATAATTAATTTGACGTTGAATAACATCACCTATTGGAAATGATTGCCAACCATAAGAATCAGGTTCTAATTGTATTTGAGCAGAAAGTGAAGAAAGTCGATGTGATGAATAAATTTCATTCAAAGAATATAATATTGGCCAACGTGTGCGACGTTTATAAAAGTGTAATGAAACAGCATAAATACTTTCTGTGCGACGAATAACATTTAAATCAAAGACATACATTGTAACATTATCGATTTCAACTAAAATTGAAAGTTTTCTTTTATCAATAGGCTCTTTCGTATATTAAACACTAATCATCTTATAGATTAATAAAAAGAAAATATGCATTCAAGCTGCAAGAAAAGAAATCAGATGATGATGATTTTCTTTTCTTTTTAATATAAATGAAATGTTTTGTCTCTATGGATTTATGAACAAGATAGCCATTTATCGATTAACTAAGTCAGATTCGCAAAATGTTTCGTGACAGATGCCACAATGAACTCAAGTTTAATAAAGACGATGTGATACGATCATATTCAACTTTAATAAAAATTAATCTCAAAGATAATCTTGAACGAAGAATGCTCACATAGTGGATTGTTCATATTATATTCAACAATTGATATATATATATATATATATATATATGGAGAGAGAGAGAGAGAGAGAGATGAAATGTCTTTGATCATGTTTTATTCGTTGAACAAATTTCAACCGATAAAAAATCCAACATGTTATTCTTTCTTTTTTCTTCGATGACTCTACTTAAGATGGTACTTGACTTTGATGAGTATGTCCATTTACTCAGACAAAATTCGCAATTGTTTATCTATATTATTATTATTATTATTATTATTATTATTATTACATAGATTACTTAAAATAAACAAGAAAAAGAAACGAGTATCTGTTTTTGTTGTTTAGAAGTTCAATGAGAAATGAAGAAGAAAAAGAAAAAGAAAAAAGATTATGCGACCATAGGTCAACGAGCAGACAACAATTGATCATTATGTACCACGGAAAAGAAATGATCCGCCCTATTCATTACGTCAAACGGTAGTTAACTCTAAAAAGAAAAACGTGTCTATAATTGACATCGCTAGCCTAAAAGGAAAGAAAAGGAAAAAGAATCATTCAGTTAGAATCTTTTAATAGCAATACAATGTTTCCTATAACCAATTAGGTTCATTGATTGAATGTATTTTCATAGATTGCATGCTACTTTGAACTGATCATGAAAAACTAACGTGTCTCGTCGTCTGGTTTATTTCATGGAGTATACGTATCGATTTATGAGCATATTCAAAGGGTGTCTAAAAGCACTCAACTTTCTTTTCTTCTTACTTTAATTCTAATCCAATATGACACATATTAAACTCATAAAATATGTCTTACCGATACGTGGTACAAGAGCTCGAATAAGATTGTAATCAGATTTTATATCATTTTGTTTTTCTTGTTCATATAATGTTCTCATATAATCAATTAAAGATGATGAACTTGTATTATTTATTGTATAATAGCGATTTGTTGCAGACAACGATGAAGGTTGATCTTCATTATATTTTAATATATTTGATTTTGATGAAACATCAAGAAGAACAAACAAATGACAAACTTGTACAATAATTAAAATAATCAAATACTGAATTGTTAACATGATCATATTTCAATATCTATAATTACATCTAAAACGATCGATGTGTTAAAGAAAAAATATTTGGTTGAAAATAAAATAACACATCTTCAATAGTTCTTAATGTATTCAAGCTATTTGATAGATTCAATCGAAAGAAAAAAGAAAAAAGTTTATTATTTTATTATGAGAAAGTTCTATTTTAAGCTACGGATCATCACAGTGAGATGACAATACTCTTCCATAAGCTTCTCTACTTTTCAAAAAAAGATCAATCTATACTTATCAACTTACAAGGTTGATAGGTTATAATGTCTGCTATTCAAATATGTGCCTTTAATCATGAAGAAAATTTTCTTTCTTATTTGTAAAATGGAAACCTGATCAAAACGAACAATTTAAAAATTGATCGAAAACAAATTATTCCCCTGTTGAATACCTACTTCCGTGCTTGTTCATTAAACCGGCAAGACGATCAATGAATGAATGAATAAATAAATGAAGAATGCTTTTTTTCTTCTCTCTTTCTTCTCGCCGTCGTTCTCGTCTCTCCTCCCTGTTTCGCGTTCTCTCTTTATTTCTTTTTCTGAATGAGCGAACAGAATCGGTTAATAGTCTAATGGCTTTCTTTCACCATTGAATGATGGTGAACAGGCGCAATGATGAGGAGAGATGGTGGGTAGTACTATGTGTCGTGATCGATGGCACGCCTCTACTTCATTTACCTGAACGGTGGGTTGGACTCACTCATTTTTTCTTCTTATTCTGTCTATATTGCGTCATTTTTTTTCTTTTTGATTTGATATTAATGAACAGAAAGAAAAAGCTGATATGACTCGAGCCATTGGAAGGACAACGATAGTAACGCTTGCAAGTATAATTCAGGGATATCGAGATAAATCGTGTCATAAGGATAGACGGATAGACGAAATGAAGAGAAAAAAGTATTCGATGACTATCGAAACACTAAAACAATATTGTAGAAGCATTTTTTTATTGATGCTTAGACCAGACAATGTTTTTATTAAATGAAACAAGAATGGTTAGACTTTACGCGGTCTTTTGAAAGCGAACAAAAAGTCATGTATTGATATTAAAACAATTCATTTATTTCTTTAAAAGAAACACTTCATTCATACGAAATCGAACTATTTGAAAAGATGCTTTCGAACTACAGAGATAGAATTCAATCAGGAATACTTGAAACAATATGATATGTACCAAAGGAAACTCAAGTAGGCAATCAGCATCCTATTTCATCGACTTGTATTTATTAGTATACAAACAATAGTGCACAAGATGCGAATTTGACGATATTTTAATTTATATCTTAGCTTGACAGATATGTTATATGAACGTGCTATCAAGCGTATACAAACCAGAAGACGAGACTCTTTGTTTTATTCTGTTCTACATTAAAAGGAATAAAATCATGTTTGGTTACAACACAATCAAAAGTAAACTTTAATATAGAAAAAAAGTTATATTGATAAATTAGATCCTAAGATGGTCTCGTTTCTTTTTTGTGATTGTATATTTGTTTATTAGCTGTTAAAATTCTTGACATCGGTTTGTTATAAAACATTGAACAGCCAAAAAATTTTACAAGCACGATGCATCGAAAGGTCATTTTTTAGGACTGCACAATTTTGTTTTATAATCATATGAGCAACAAGAAAAGCATATTAGTTCGATATATGTCTATATATATCGTTTTGAAAATATTTATTTATCGTTCTTTGTTTAAAAATATATTTTCTATAATAAGTAAAAAATTTCAAATTATTATACAGCCTGAAATTTTCCGTAAAAAATAAGTTACAAAAAGTTTATATGCAATATTCGATAATAGTCAATAAAGCATGTCGTACGCTTATCTCATGATTAATGTTAAAATCATCTTATATATATATAACATGTATACCCATAAGTGCATTTAAAATCTGATAAATGACGAGAATCCAAGGAGAAAACAGCTGAAGTCGGTTTTTATGGAGGGTACTGATTTTCTATTAAAACATTGATAGCAAGCAATTACTTTTCTTTTTACTTTCTTTCAGCTTCAAATAAGAAAATCGCGAAGGAAAT